AGGTATCAAATCACCTTTAATGGATTGGCTGACTTTATATAGAAAAACTCGATATGTTAAGGTCAAATATAACTTCAATTTCTCTCAGGCAATGAAATGTCTTGGTGGGATCTTCCAGGGTTCACTATTAGGACCTCTTCTTTTCTTGATTTATATAAACGGTCTTCCACAACAAGTATAGTCTGGCTGATGATGTGAAACTTTGGAGAGAGAGAGAGATGCAACCAAGAGGGTATACTGGCACTTCAGAAGAATCTGACTCGATTTCAATGTTGAGCAGATGACAACGAACTAACCTGTAACACTTCGAAGTGTAGATTGGTTGATATAAGACATGTTGCAGATTATGGTTACAACTTTGGCGACTCCCCTGTAGAAGTATTACAAGTTGAAGACGATTCAGGAGCACTGGTTCCCTACGATTTGAAGTCTTACGCTAACTGTGACAAAGGTGCCTTTCGAGCAAACTTTTCACTGATAATATTGAAGCGCATTTTTGCTAGTTTTGAGGGAGAACCTTCCATATAATCTTCAACAGTTTCATCCGTCCTCATTTAAAGTACGGAAACATAGTATATCCTCCTTCACTCCGAAAGGATAGGGACATGTATCCAATGGCGAGCCACGATATCAGTTCTGGGACTCAACTTCAAGCCTTACTAAGAGCGCCTCCAGTCACTCACGTTTACCCACTTGTAGTGTGGAGTCGAGTCGCGGTTGACCATGATCACCACTACAAGAAGACTACGTGCCAGTTAACCGATAAGATTCTTCGTAGGCCAAATATCAGAAGGCAGTTGATGGCTGTAGTCCAATATGTATTTGTTGGCGATCTCGTGGTATCGAAAGAATACCGAGATCATGCCAAAGGTGTATAAGTGTGGTTACGGAGCGTTACCGAACTCGTGCAAGCTCGCAATCAACGGAAGAATGTCTTTTGTACAGCTAAACAAACAAGTATAGTAAAACAATCCCTGGTACAATTGGTTGTAATAATAATTGTTTCCATTACACCAATCGCGTTCTCTTGATAAAAGCAGGTCACTACACACTAGAGTACAGGCGACTTAGGGGTGACTTTTTAATGGCTTGCAGTGTCCTTAACACTTCCGGACATTCCCTCAAACACCTACTTAAGTTTAGCCCCAACACCAATATAGTATTCTAATTATAGTATGAATTAGGAATTCCAGGATTAACGCAATTGAATTAAGAAGACACAGGCACAACGAATGTACTGTATTTAGAATTCGAAATCGAGCATTCAACAAGTACAAAAGAATCATTAGTTAATTCAAACACCACATCCGCCACAGCTTAAATAGAAGTATAAGTGTTTGTAATCGGTTGTACGTCTTCTTGTTAAGTTCATCCTGAGTCTGTCCGACATTGTATAAGATAAAAACTTTGTAGTATCTAGAAAGTGCTCATTAGTATTGGAATTAACAAACGAAATCGGAACAGACTCACCTGGAATTGTATACAACCAGCATGTCGGTTTTGTAATGAAATCATTAATATCTAGAATTCGAACCATAAATTTTTCAACACTATCCTCCCCCACGAAATAATGTTGGATCTTTATACTCCCAAGTTATGAATAATGTGGCTTCATTTAAAACATATATCTCACATTGTTTAGAGTAAACATTAGAACTGTTTTTGTGATAAGAGTAAACAGCAGTTGATATGAAATCATCCGAAATATAATAAAACTCGAGGTCACTTAGTACTCGTGCTTCGCATTGGGCAGGTTTTTCACGAAGATCAAATACATTATGAGGATAGGTAATATATGATATGACATCAGGATTTGATTCTTCTGAAATATTCTCATGAAATTCATCAGGACTGTCGTTGCAGAGCGTAGGATCGTTAGAAAAATCAGCATCTATCCAAACCACATCAGGTTTTCGATCATGATTAGGTTCATTTAACATATTTTCCTCAGAATTGCAAGTAATTTCATTAGAAATATGTGAATCATTAGGAAAAGTCATACTTGGTACAATAGCATGAGAATTCTGATAAATCGGTTGATTAGGAAATGTTGTCTCACAAGAATTCTGGATTTCATTTAACTCTGAACTGCCATATGACTCTGCACTGTCTTTTGAAATCGTTGATAAAGATAAATGATCATCATGAATACTCGACTCAGTAGAATCAGAATTACAAGACTTAATATTAATTGCAGTAAGATGAACATTAGCATTACAAACTGACTGAACTTGTCCAATATCACGACATTTGAAGCATTTAGAATTATGAAATTTACATGAATTAGAAGAGTGGAACTTGCAACAGGACAAACACTGACCAAACTTGTCCCCATCCTCGTGAACTCCATCCAAATTCAATGAATTGTCTGCATAACCTTGAGTATGCACTAGGTTGAGATGACGTAGTAATGTAGTGGACTTTTTTATATCCTCATGAATCATTTTACGAAATCTTCCTCCTTTACGACATTTGAAATTTGTATACTGAGCATAGTCTAGCAGTAGATCCTTGAGAGCTGTATAAGAAAGCGAAATGGGTTTTTCCGGCATAGCCAGAGTTCTTAATAAGCTGTATGCTTCTTTTCCAATGAATGTGAGGAAGTGTGCCACAATATTAACATCCTCATCATCTTCCTTGGTTATAGCCCAGATTTCGAACCTTTCAAAGTAATCTTCAAAAGCTTCTGAAGTTGAATGAATATCTAACTTTTCCATTCCAGGCTCCATCGCGACGCCAATATAGTATTCTAATTATAGTATGAATTAGGAATTCCAGGATTAACGCAATTGAATTAAGAAGACACAGGCACAACGAATGTACTGTATTTAGAATTCGAAATCGAGCATTCAACAAGTACAAAAGAATCATTAGTTAATTCAAACACCACAACCAACCAAAGGGGTAACACCCAGAAACTGGGGACATTACACGGGAGAACGGTCTGTAGATACAACTTCCACTCCTCAAGAGTAGTCAAATACCGGAATTCGCTGCCGGCTGAGCTAGTTCGAGCGAATTCCCAGGAGTCCTTTGAGAGAGAACCTGACATATTTTTAAGGTCTAATGATAGTGTTTTACTATGATTTACCGATTACTTTTTCCTCGATTATCGTTAATATACCTTGGTTCATGCCTGGAGGTATTGATGGTCCACTGCTACAAGACACGGGAGCTTGTTAAACGAAAGCTTCTTCTATTCCGTTCACAACCATTCACAAAATTTGAAGTAGCGTCAAATACACTTTTGGTTGACTAATCGATTTCAGTCAGAAGGTCGTACACAAAGAGGTAGGTCTGGAATCCGTTTGACCTTGGTACATCCTTCAATTAATATAAGCGTTTTCCAGATTCCTGTGTAATGTGCTTACTAATTTTATATCTGTAGTATAATGGAAGGATATAGATCTTCAGCCTATTTAGTTTTACTTTTTTGATTAAAACTATCTGAAGTGGAGTTATCAAATCTGCTCAATTTTGTTTAGTTTTGTCAACTGAGCGATTTAGTGGATTTAGGTAAATGATTATTTAGTAAAACATATGAAAAATGCGACCAGGTAGATGAAAATTAGGGGAGATTTTTTCTCATGTCACATGATCTTCATTATGTTGAATCTGTGTTTCCACACTATTTTCGTCGGAAAATTAAGGTAAGGACGAACGTAAATGACTTTCAAAATATCTCTTAGAAGCGCCGGGTTCTGTTCAGTTTATCAAAAAAACAATAAGAATAAGCGAAAAATCCATATCGCTTCATTGCATAGTTTTTGATATACATACTATTTTCTTATTATTAATACACTTCTCATAATTGTTCGTACGTGTTGTCCTGCGTCCAAGTAGCATACTATAGGGTTAGAGTTTATGATATAGTCTTATTAGAAATAGAGCGCAGGATTACGATATGTGAGCTAACTATAATACCGATCGTAGCTCTTAATCCTGATTCCAACCTCTTATTGCTTAGATGTTAACTCTCAATTTTCATCCTTAGGCCTTAATTTTAACCGTGAACTAATCATAACTGCACTGCTAAAGCGTTAGTATATAGTGCTACTGGAATGAAAATCATCTGCTAAAGGGGTTTGTTAGACATGTTTTTAATATCTGCCTTAAAGTAGTTATTTTAGTCAGTAATTGTATCTTATTTTGCGGTTAATAGGTTATCTGTGTGGGTGTACTTCCATTTTTAACCATTAGATCAATAGCACATGCGTTAAGTTTGTATGTCTTCGTCCCTCAATACTTCATTTTTCGATTATGATAAAGCGTGATATTATCCCTATGGTTTCATGAAGGCTACATCCAAGTATTTTCTCCCTAAACGTTTTGTGGTGTGACTATAATTTATGGACGACTTTTGAGCGACGCTAGACTGATCTTTAGTGTGTCCACTTAATAACCATGACGAAATGATGGTTATAAACGTATGAAGAATTATAAATATAATTTACATTTGATGATTAAAATTAGGAATTAGATTTCGTGATTTCATCATGAACTGACATCAACTATGATGCCAAAACTTTATTTATCCAAATGGATGAGTGAATTTTGCGCGAAAAGCCGAGACCTGTTATCTTATAAGTGATTGGTTCGTCCGTAAATTGTAATGTCGCCTGTTTTATAAACTGAGCAAGGTTTACCACATAAGTTGTTATTTTGTTTCGTAAGAGGAACTAAATCCATGTACCGGGCCCTAATACATATGTAAGTACTAGCACCTTTACGTGGTTAGCCAGACCGGATTAGGTGCAGCTAGATTGATTAAAATTCTGGTTATTTGGTTACTGTGGTACAACCTTTGTAATTACAGTACTTAAAATTCCCATGATGTTTATATTTCAAACGAGCTACATATTAATTACCTTATAACCCTTAACTTAAGTTGAAAAGGTTTTAACTCTAAGACCTTTGTTTTTTTCAGGTTGTTGCACAGCTGTTGCTTTAGGTTGTGCAATACATTTTCAAACTTTCTTTATGTGTAAATTATAAAGTTAATGTCGTCATCTCGAGCTGCCTCTGCTATTAAAGAAGTAATCAACTTCAAAAATGCTAAGAGGACGTCTTTCTTCCTCATGATAATGATATCAATATATCATGGCTTTCTAATGACAAAATCTGGTATTTCTCTAGAAGTGTTTTTAATTTTAGGTGGTAATTTGTGCAAGTCTCTACTGAGTGATGGAAGATCAGGGCCTGGTGGAGAATTTCGGCCCTACAGTTGTATGATACATACTTACTCATCAAGGTAGTGTTTCATTCCTTATAATTTTTGCAATAATAAGAGACAGTCATAAATGTTTTAAAAGACTTGCGCCTTGGGGTGATGTGGTCCGACTCTATTTTGTTGGAGATTCACGACTTAAAAAGCTATTTAATGCTTTTGTTTATCACATAAATGATGAAATTGTTGGAGAAAATACTACATCAGAAGCAAGCATTTCAAATAACTTTCAGTATGTTGCGGGAGAAGTCGACTTAGTAAGTGATCTTCAACAAACTTTCTCGAATGCTTTGTTCGCATCTTTGATTTAGTAATTTTTCTTCGTTTATTTAATCCGTTTATACAGTATATTTGTACTACTGTAAATTGCTATTAATAAGAGCCGCAAAACTGCTCAAAAAAGATTAAGTTTTTTATAAGTGACTATTTAAGCAGTATAGCTGTCAAGTGATATTTTGTTACCGGTCTTTTAATCACAGTCAGTCTCATTTTGTCTACTGTTCGCTACTCTGTGATACTTTTGGATTCACTGTTGAGATTTCAGCCCAGTTTTAAAACATTCGGGTAGTGAGAGTAATGCTGAATCAATAGCATAGTTTAATTTTATGAAGTTAGTGGGTTATGTTAGAAGCCTTTAAGATTCTATTCTTGAACATTCATGATTGTGCTTCTACCTGCTCATTACCATATATTTTATTTTATTTCCTCTTAGCTTAGTACACCACCCTTGGTCATGTCTTACTACTACTACTACACTGTTATGAAATTTATCAGATTTAACTATACATTGGGATAGATTTTGTTGTTCAAATTAAGCCTTAACGAGTAGAAGACGTATAATTCAAACAACTAAATTTTGTTATACTTGACATGTGGCTAGCAGTAGAATTTGTGACTCCCATTTCGTCCTGCCTGGGATTTGTAATCTGTATTTAACTAGATAGTACTATTGATTTTTACACAAATTGTAACACAGGTACAAATATAGCTAAACTTGAGACTAAAAGGCACGTCGAGACATTCCTCTCACGATGTTCACCATGTGCACGATTGGTTTGGAATCAGGGATTTCCAACTCCCTTAAGTGGATCCTCCATACCCACCAACCCGGTCAAAGCGCCGAACATTTGCTGTATTTTCTCTCAATTTCGTAAAGGACACCCCTGCCTCGAGAAGGCAGCGAATGAGACCTCCCTTGAGGTAGCTGTGTACGCGTGGCCATTTAAGAGCATTTCGAGTGGGAGAGCTAACTCTCCCCACCCTCGGTCGTACCAGTGCATTTGGGGCACTTCTTAATAGTAGAAACAATATAGAAGTGTCTTCCAATTTCGTATTTTCGTTAGGGTAAGATGCTCAATTATCGTGAATCTTCATTCTGTTTGAAGCCATTAATCTGCGATTATCTGTTGTTAACTTTTAACCATTATGGTAATTGTTTCGAATCTTTACATAATAAGTTTAAATCAATCTAGTAAACGAAACAATACATGTTTACTTAGGTTATTACTTTGCCTTTTTATGCAATTTAGCTACATTTATTATTACTGATATTATCGTCATTTTCAATTTTATTTCTCTAGCGATTTTTCTATCATGATGAAATTACAGATGATACACTAGAACTAGTCAAGTCATGGATCGGCTCTACAAATTTATCCAATGTTACTGAATCTAATATACGAAACAAAAATAATGACATTTCTACACCTACTCACTTGATAATCTCTATGGGCACAGTGAGTACAGTCTTTCTATAAACGATTTTTCACCTGTTTTGTATCAATATGTTTTTTTTTAACTGATTTGCCAGGTCATCGCTAGTTTATATACTTGGTCTTGAGTTGTACATTTCCGCTTGTAAGAGGTAACGATATGGTCTGATTGGCTAAGTAGGTGAATAAGCGGGATTTCGATTTATGACCTAATTGTTAGTCATTAGATTATCTATGCACTTTACTTCACCACATAGTGAATTGAATCCCATTTTGTAAGCGAAGTAAACACTAGTTCATCCATTATGATGTTAGTTATAATTTTCGTATCGAATTAATACACAGCTATCCACATCAAAATAGGCTGTTAGGAGTGTGGTCATATAATTAATAAAGTATACCTTCATAGCCTAACTTTTACATGCTATATATTTGGTCACATAATTTGTTCTTATATAAATAAAATCAATGTTATAGCATTTTTGTAACAATGATTATCACAGAAATAAATCATTGTGTTGCTCACTTGGCTATTCACATTACCTTACATATGTTTATTATTTGCTCTCATTGGCAGAAAACAATACAACATTATAATAGATCCGAAGATGGTCTTTTAGAATATATGAGTAAGTGTTTTCTTTCATATGGATCGATAATTTCTCTTCAGATAAATTTTAATTACAACATGAAAGGATGTCAACTGAAGGATAAGTGAAAACCAAGCAGAACTAGGCAGACGTCTTGTTTTACTGTGAGACTTCTCGACGGTACATAACTACGACTCTACACAGGGTTAAACCCAGCAGGTTCATTTAGCCTGGTGAGCTCAAAGCTCTTACACATATGCTACGTTTGAAGAGATTGAGGTATTACTTAAACCGGCAAACGGAACGAAAGTCAGCAACACAACAAGCTAAACTAATCCACTGTGCTCCAGCCCTCTTAACTAGATTAAGACCACGTTCAGTCGAGGGAATTGTATATTCCACAAGCATCCCACAGGCACGAACAAACAAGCACACAACTTATGTGTATATGTACAGCTCAAAAATATCGTCGAAAAACGTCACGAAATAGTGTACTAATACAGGAAACGAACCATTGACATTTAAGGTTCTTCCAAGTGGGAAATACAAACTGAAGGTAAAAGTGGGCGTTTTGGTGCGAAAATGAGGAATTCACATTTCCAAAATAGAAACTACGAAAATAAAACGCTTACCAAGTGATTTCTGAAGACCTAGCGTTCCCAAAAAGATCTCACCGACTCTTAATAGACTGGTTTAACACCTGTGTTGTCTTATTTAGTGTTCGTCAGATGGATATAGTCCCATCTCCATGTTGTTGTTCACTCCAGGACTCCGATCCACCACTTTCCGCGTCGAATGCCAAGCTCTTTATCCACTGAGCTACTAAGCCCGAATAGCTACTCACCTGTGCAACGGGTATAATATTTATTTCATTATTAGAAGGGATTTGGAACATTCCATTGCTGATTTTGTTGAATGAATTTTAATCAGGCACACCCAGCCGACTAGTTCCAAATAGGACAAAACACAAGTCACAAGTTCACAAGAACTTGTTAAAAGTGGTTATATCGACGCAATCCTCAAAGGATGCACAATTACCAACCAAGACTGCTAAAAATCAAGTCACCAATATGAACAATGAAATAAGAGTTTTAGTTGTCACAAAACCCCGACCGTTGCTTATGCCTTGATGTGGTAGACAGGCTTACCTATCACAATGAACCAATCGAGTTATGCTGGCTGGAGCAATCGTTCCTCAAGGTCCTACCATGCCAGACAGGGCGGTTGAAGAGAGGTAAGACTAAAAGCAGCAAACCCAAGGTCCGAAGGCGAAGTCACACTGCTGACTGTACAGAGGTGTGACGGCAGTAAGGTGTTTCCTCCAGACAACCAGTATAACAGCGATGCTGTCTTCTCACAAAGAGAGGCGTGGTTATAAAAGGTCGACCCTAAAAATGCACACCTTGCCTTATCCCACGGATTTCCGTCTCCGGTGGTAAGGTACCAACAAGTACGGAGCTAACGAGAAAACTACTCACAAAAAGGTCGTGTGTGACTGGCCTCAAGTAGTTGTCCCTTGGGCACTGCGGTCACGCTCTCGGGTCACTAAGACCATCCCTAACCCAATTTCCTTTTCAGATACCTCCAGTAGAACCCTTCCACGGTTTGGGCAACTGGGAAGTGATAAGTGCTCTCATACCTCTAACAGCACTCAAGATCACTGTCACAAAACCATTGTGATTTTGGTTTTCTATCTCCTGAAAGTGAAACAGTGATCATCATCTTACCAAACTAATGTCTCAATAATCTACTATTCATATGACTTAAAACTCTTAACGTTCATTGACAAATACTTTTAAGATATAATTTGCGTGCTATAAATGTTTTAGTGTCTAGAAGATGAAGAAATTATATGTATTCATTTTATTCACACCAATAAAATGAAATCATTTTTAATCTGTTAAATTTATTTTATTTCTTTTTGACGTTTAGACGGTGTTAAACGTCTTACTAGTGTTTTAGAAGAATTGAAATTCGCACGGTGCGTATGGATGCTACAAGGTAAATTAATGGGCAATGTCGCTTTTCCTTCTATCTCTTTCCCACGGCCACCCTCTTTTTCTCCATTTTTATAGTTAACACTTTCTTGATTGTTGCACAATGGCGACTTAGTAGTTGAAATATCTAATTTTCGGATCACCTTACAACGCCTACCTTCCTTTTTTTGGACATTAGAGTAGTAACAACACTAAATCTTCACACCAAAACGTGTAACTCATAGTGAAATACTTTAATTTATACTCAATTATTGATTTTGGTTCGAGTAATTCATTATCTGTTTATATCTCTCTTTCTTCATTCATTTAAACAAATGTTTTTGGATGAAAACTTGGATTAAATATTATTTATGAATTAGTCTATTATCAATTGATCAAACTATAAAGTCGTAATATAATGAGCCATTTTATATTCATTTGTTTTCTTAAAAGTTTGACATGACACACCGATTTCAGTTAGATAATCGTTAAAAAAACCAGGCAACAAGTCTACATCTACGGATTAGTAATCTTGGAGATTTTATTTCACTTAATCTTTCTCAAAATCAAAACAAGAAAAGTTAATTAGTTACACATAAATTTATGAATAAAGTAATTTTCACTGAGTACAAATTACATTACATTAATAATAATGAAAATAAATCTATATTTTTGAGAATACATTGGTTGTTCATGAATGTAGTTCACTTAAAATCAGTTTGTCAACTCTAAAACTGATTCCTTTATGAAATTAATATATGGAAATGTTATATATTCAACACTAATGAAAAGATCCAACCCTATAATGATAATTATCATGTGCTCACTAGTGACTAACTTCGAGAGGTAATTCTCAAAGTTCTAGTGAGAAACCGTAACCAGTGGAGCTAGTCCATGTGAGGCAATTACTCATCGAAGACAATGGAAGATGATCACGCAATTACGTGGATTGGTTGAAGTTAGATATTACCACCGTTGGATGCCGGATCAGTAGTCTAGGGGTTAAGCGTTCCCGTGCGAGATCGAAGGTCCTGTGTTCGAGTCTCGTATGAGTGATCGTAGATGCATACCTCTGAGAAGTTCCACACTAGGACGAAACGGTCGTCTAATGCTTCCAAATTTTCAATGGTGGTCCAACATTGATCGGTTTATGGTTTCAATTAAATTTCATAAATCCTTATAATTACATATCTATCTTGTTTTTACAAAATTACTTAATCCATTATTCAGTCAATAAACTATATATTTTAAGCCGTGACGAATGCAAATACAAACAAATAAATAAATCAAACAGATCTTTACAATAAAAATTATCTATCAAAATAGCATAAACAATTGTTTTTATTGGTAAGGGTTTGTAATCTTCGATTTTTGTTGTTAAGGTCAACAATTAACCAGTTTCTGTTGCCATTTCTTCTAGCAGAGCAGATCACCTTAATATTACCATTTAGTCACAACCTCTAGTAAAGTTAAATTGTGTCAGGCAGTGCATTCCATGACACGCGTTCTCTCTTATTTGAGGCTTGTTAGCTAGACGTGCTTTCGTCTCACTGTCATCTAACACAATGCGCCACGGATAACTTTTATTAATCTGGCCAAAGCTTTTGACTCTATCCCAAAAGATCTAATAGCACAAACACTGGACAAATTGGTACTGAGAAAACGTTCAGAAATGCATAGCGAAATTTCTAGACGGATCAACAGGACACATAAAGGGAACTAATTCCCATTTTTTAATGCATAGAGTTTTCAGACAAAGTAAAGTGGCCCCATTCGTCTTTAATCGCATATTTCCATGAAATCTTTAGTACACAGACGAAATCACGTTATACCAGATACAAGATTCACAGCCAAAATACAGAATCAGAGTATAAATGGGAGAATACTCCATTCAACACGATTAAAAGCGGTTTACACTCAGTGAGTTCACAGTAGAAGTCAATAATAGGAAAAGAAATCACTTATTTACTAGTCAGCAAGCTGATTGTCTGTTTACCCACTATCTGCGGCCAATCACATTTACTTTCACCAAATACACATCACTTACATATTCCTTCCGAAACATTTATCACCAACATAAAACATTGACATTAACAACCAATGGTTTTGTAAACCTGAGCATTTCTTAATTAGGAATTATTGTGTATTGCTAATAATTCATTTATGTTATCAAATTCATTTCATTTTACTGACCAGCATAGAATCATGTCTTAGTTTTTTATCAGTCGGTTTTTAGCACTTGGCTTTATTTTCTCCATTCTGCAGACCCTGTTGCAGAAAGTCTTTTATCTAAAGAGTTGAAAATAATTACAAATGATTTGATCGATAAATATAATGAATTTGCATCAACAGCTATGTGAGTGTTTATTCTCTTATTACATTTTTATCTTGATTTTCGTTAGTAGTTTGCGGACAGCCATAACAAAATGTCATTTTAATAAATAGACTTGTTTTCCTCTCTTCTGTGAGACTCCACATTATTGTTTACTCAATACTTCTCCTAAGAATGAACTTAGTACGCGTATTTATTTTAACAAACGTACTTGTCTTTGTATGGTGTTGATGATAATCACAGTAAGATTATCCAGTGAATTTATAATTTTAGTAACATTCACTTTGAGATTTACCAAGAATCTTCAATCAGTTAACTTGAAAGTAATTCTCACTAACCCTAGCTTCTCTGAGATTATGAAAGTCTTTTCTTTGAACAGTAACCTGAGCACACACAAAACGCACATAATGTTGTCCGAATTGTTTTTAGTCGTAAAAAGCTAAGTCGTATTCTGGAATCTCCATAACTTTGATAATACGTAAAATATTGGTTCAAAATCACTTGAAAAAACTTGATTAATTGTAGTAAATTTTATTTGATGCTCGAATCATATCTAGGGTTAAATAATTAGAACAAAACGTTTCCCATACATCTTTGCATTGTTACCCAAAATATAGCAATCCTAGCATGTATACTGCCTAGCAGTTCACTGTGTATTACTCTACAACTCTACATAACGGCCTATAAAAAATAAGACATTCGTGGACTACAGGTATTTGATAACTTTTTACCTTCTAAATATTGAGTTTCAATATACCTCCATATGTGCACTTTCATTCCTTCTTCTCGAACCATATTCATTGTGTTCAGTATTCCACGTAATCACTGATATTACCATCATCTCAGCTTCTTTGCTCTTCGTATTGCTAATTTCACCGCATTATACTGATTTGATATTCCAAACCCCAGATAGACGCTTATGTACATCTGTCCAAGTTATCAAATCAGCATAACGAGATGAAATTAGCAAGATGAACACAATAATAGCAACAATAGTATTATCAGCGATAGTAAGAAGTACAAACGATGAATATGGGTTTGGGCGAAGAAATAAAACAAGTGAAAGTATGGAATAAAAATAAAGCTGTAGATTTAAAATAAGATAAACAGTCAATGTATCTAGTTTTTTTCCGACCTACAACACTTCCCAGCATTGTGAATCTAGATACTCGGCCATCTAGGATACGTAACGCATTCCGAAAACCCTAGTTGATGAATATTCATTACTTTATCAATTGGTTTGTTACCTTTTCCTAGTACCCTGTACTTCAAAATCGTTCACTCTGTCGTTTCTCAGTACTCCAACAATCCTTCAAAGACACTTATGATCAAAAACCTGAAGCCTACCCGTGTCTTTTACCTTCGTAGATCATGTTTCACACCCATACGGTGATTCGAAATTTACTGCTGAGTAGTATGTATACTCGCACAAACAGGCATCTTATTTACTCCGTAGGTGGCTCGATTTGGCAAAATCCAACCTAACTTTACAAACAGGCCTTGGTACAGACGAGGGTGGGGAGAGTCCACTCTCCCTCTCGAAATGTTCTCACATGGCCACGCGTATATAGCCACTTCCAGGGAAGTCTTACTCACTGCCTTCTCGCCACGGAGATGTTGCTTACCAAATTGAGAGTATGAAAGGCGAATGTCCGCCGCCTTAACCGGGTTTGTGGACATCCAGGATCCACCTAGGGGAATCGGAGAACCCTGATTCCAAACCAGTGATGCACATGGGCTCCAGGATCCTGATGGAACAAATGGCATATGAACCTGTTGCTGTTCACTGGCTACCATGAGACTGCATTTCCTAACGTTGCTTCACTGCCTTGTAGATGAGACCTGTAGGTCAAAGGCTCCGAGAGTGGCTCCCTAAGTAAACCACCTGCTCTGATTTGGACACCCGGGCAGTATCCTAGTCTTCACACAAATAGAACGATGATGTGTAGCGCATATATATTCGGTGCCTTCTTGTACCAATATTTGTATTTAAATGATAAGTAGTTACAATAAACCCGCCAGTGTAAAACTAGACGTATAATACATCGAAAGACTGCTCCTGACCTATGATTGTAAAGAACTAGTCAGTTGACAAAAATACATCCCTTTAGTCACATTCTAAGCTGTATAAAAATAATATTCTAAAGGGATTATTCAGCTGAATTTGACTAATTTACCAGCTCAATACGCACATGACTTGAAATTACACAATTGCAAAATATTTCTGTTCGATACTTCCTTATTACCTTTAAAAATAGTTCTCCGATTGATAACAGTACATATTGAAAATCATCTTTAAAATAGATATTTTTTATTTAGCATTAGTTGATTTGGGCAGTAACATTATTTACCAGAAATGTATTACTAGCTATACTATGATTTCAATTAGTCATTTCGACTGATACACTTTGTTCTTATGAGAACTAGTCTAATTGATTCTACTCTATAGAAATTTACATATGCATAAATTTATTTTATGTCTTATCTAAGGAAATCTGTTAGTGGTGTAGAAATATGGAGTTCAAATCGTTTAATTGCTCTTAAAGTTGGTTTTCCAGCTATAAATTGGAACTGTCGTCAATTACAAATGTTATCTACAAGTAATTCAGATAAAATGGCATCGGCAACATGTAAGTGTTTCTAATTGACTGCTATACTTCTTTATTAGGTCGCTAATATACGTTGGATTAATTAGTAACTCTTTTAATTCATAGATACATATATAATGAAATAAAAAGTTATAACACAGCATAGTTAATCTGTTTTCAGGATCATAGATATATCGAAATTCGAAAACAATAATTTTTTTCGAATGAATTAGTTTCCTGCGGGGTTTGAGAGCGAGAGAGACTACGAAAAGCCAATGTTCGATTCTCAAACCGGATTTTTGGGTAAGGAAGATTCTTCTAGGGGAGTTGAAAAACCCTGATCCCAAATCATGTATTCCAGGATCCCAAGGGAACGAATGGCTTACGAACTCATTTTTGGCCACCGGTTACCTTGGGACCGAAACTCCCAGCGTTGCTCTACGTCCTTGTGGACTAGACATCTGAGTCAAAGGCTCAGGGAATAGCCCCCAAGAAAACCATTTGCTTCAGTCTGGGTATCTGGGCAGTGTCCCAGCCCACACGCAAATTCAATAATTTGTTTGGCGCATATATATATTGGTGCCCCTTTGTACCAAAATTTATGTGCCTAAATAAATAATTATTCATTTCAGAGTATTACATTATTTTTGGTACACATATCGTAATAGCTATAAACCTCGTGTGCATAGAATTACTGTTAATAAGTAGTGTATTGAGAAAAAATACACTAAAAATGATGGTATGTTCTGCCTTTATTGTACAGTTATATTCAAAATTGTTTGACTTTACGTTTATTGGAAAAAAAGCATAACCAATGTAACCCATTTATTCGTATCCAAGCTATCCATGTTTTGTATTAGATCTGATGAGACATTAGATAATTGCTGAATCTGATGTCCATAGGCCGGAACTTGAACCTGTAACCTAACAGTTAGAAGTTATACATGTTGACCACTGAATAACCGCTCTATTTTCATAGTTCACAGAAAAATGATTATAATTCATACATTTGTTTTGAATCAGTATAATTTCTAAACATTATATTTGCAATGACTTGACTAAAATGTGAATACTGATGATAATATGACGTCGTTATGATTGTAGAATAAGCTGTTATTTGTTCAACCAAAAAAATCAAATTGATTTGGACAGATGCAAAAAGATGAATTCAAGACTTAGTAGAAATTTATTAATGCACTAGGTGTTTTCATTACTCTACTAATTTATAACTGATCCTCAATTAATCGAAATAACATCAAAATGTATAATAAAGAAAATGTAGATTCTCATTCTAAATATTCATTTAATCAGTAAATTTGAATATATTGGAACCGGTGGCTAGTCAAAATTCAGCAGACCAATCGTTTAGTTTGCCCATATAGTTTAATGTAACTAAATTTCTGAGTTAGACATTTTACTTCTTCCTAATGAGATTAAAAATAATTTTTAAATAAAAAATATGAAAAGAGGAAAGAAAAAGCAATAAAATATATTGAGTAGTAGTAGATAAAAAAAATCGTCATGGGAATATGAAACTTCATCATAACTCGTTAAAAAATGAAGTGAAAAAGATAAGAAGAAAATAGAGTAAAATTAGTTGTGTTGCGTTTGTGTGTGTGTGTGCGTGCAAGAAATGCGGAATTTGTTACACATACAACTGTATTTTTTACTATCAACTTTATTCAGTTTGAAGAAAGTTAAACAACATATCTGCAAATTATCATTCAATGAAACTAAAAGAATTCGACTATTAGCAAATAATTGTTAGCGTGATATTCAGTAGATGAAGTTTGTGTATATAAGTAATATTTGTACTTGGAAATGTCTTGTTGACTAATAAATTTACAGAAGCAAACTGAATAGAAATCGACATCTACATAAAACAGCGTGACTATTATTAAATACCATAGGAAACGCTCAATACTTTAAACACTTAACATTATCGCAAAAACTGATCCTCTCAGAAATACGATCATATATAATAAATTATTATTATTTTATCCAATATTCTATATAAATCCCATATAACATTGTTCCACATAATTCATAAAGTTTTCTTGAATTTAATCCACTGAATAATCAATATATACATCTGAATATCCAATTGACCAATTACTCTGTAGACAAAATATAAGCCTAGAACTATAAGACATTGTTTCAAGTTGTCATAATAATTGTAAATAAGTAGTACATTTCTGATAATGCTCGATACACTTTTCAAACTTTCTACTACCAAACATTAAGTGATAATGACTTCATGGAGAATAAATAAAACAAAATAACTTTCAGCTTGAATGGTTAATATTTGTTTGCAGAATATAATACATTGACGCCTAACTGTAAGTTGATTATCCTTAGGATATTTCTTTGATTACTAGTATTTGTTCACAGTGTCTTCGAAGTATTGCTTGTGTACTTCGGGACAACTGAGTGAGCAATGGCTGGGTTAGGAATAGAGTACTAGGTAAAAATGGTAAATTGACTGATTAAATACCAAATTTTCATTAACTAAGGCGCTTGAGACATGTTTTACGTGGGTCCGTCAACCGCCTACCTCGACAGGCAATGTTTTCACATGTCAGAGTAGATTGGGAGAAAGCTAGGGGCTACTGAACCAAAACATGGTTTTAGTCCATGAAGTTATCGACAATTGGACTGAGCCATGTTAATAGGTTTAGAAAATCTGATTGGGGTTCACTTGATTATTATAACCGACGGTTGTAGACTTTGAATGACATGACTCAAAATCGTTTGTATTAGCTCAGGTATATTTATACTCTGTCTTTCCTAAAATTCTGAGTTGCTGAATTCCTCATAACCTTTTTTCGTTTTTGTTTCACTAATTTATATTTTCTGGAAATGTATCTTCAATCCCTTTAATCTTCTATCACTACTAATACTGTTACCATCTGTACTATTCTAGGATTAGGTCTGACAATTTCATCTCTCTGCGGTAACAGAGTATGACAATATGAACCGAGGTACATACGTACCAGGTTCTACGTTGTGACTGACCAGTTTCGGTATGGCACTTAGCTTCCTATCCGAAGATACTACGGCTACTACTACTGGTAATAATAACTCAGTTCACTGATAACATACAGTTTTGTACTCAACCTATATCGTGATAATTATTTGATCAGAAACTATACAACGTTGTCAGCGAGGTATAGATTGGATTAAATCATGTTTCATGAAAAATTGTGTTGTTGCAGTTTGTTTGGTCGTTTCTTAGCCATTCAGCGCTAATGAATAATTGAAGACTCTAGAATCTTCTTGTATAAAAATTATAAATACACTAACATTTTTCTTATTTTGATTCTTACCTCCATTCAAACTTGTTTATTTGGAATTATAACTACGTTCCTGTTCAACAGTATTCCGATTTGGAGACTTGTCAAATGAAGTAAAGTGTCCAAAGAATACCAAGCAATATGAACAACGGGGTTGTAATAAGAGAGATCACAACAAACATACACTACGCAAGCTTGTTTGACAGCATCATAATGATATCAAAAATTGTTAATGAAAATAGTCTTAAGTCACAGAAAACGTATTCAAAAAGTTTTTAAATCATCGTGGTGAAAGACGATGAAGAGAGAGACACGATTCTATCATCTCTCTCCAACTTTCCTCATTTATGTAGCTATGGCAATAAATCATTAGATGCTTCAGATTAAGACTTAAACATAACCCCACATTTGTTTTTGCTTTCCCAAGTCTAGTGGAGTTTGCAAAGTTTGTCTTGAAAAAAAAGCAAAAACAATGATTAAATCAAAATTATATGAACTCATTTTATTTCACTAGGTTCTCATCACCTGCTTACAACCTCTATAATATTTTAAAATAGAAACTGACATACTTATAAATATCAAAGTGATTGGATATAAATATAAATATCATGGTGAAACGGTGACTCCAATATTATTAATGCAAACTTCGTGTTTTGTATAAAAATTTGAACTATTCGTAAGAGTGTATCACGCTCCATGTTATTTCAGCCATAGTAAGTGAATTGTTAAATTTTTTCAGTGGCCAAACTCGAACGTATTCCATTTTCAGCATTTAGCTTAATTACACCCAAGCCTATAAGCTCTTTTTCATGAATCATACATAACGTTCATTACAAATGAATTAAAGCATAGGCATTAGTAATCTGAGTATATATATATATATATATATATATCACTCATCTTCAGTTATTCGTCGATGTTTGTAATCACGTTGAGTATTTCATATTTTGCTTTTCTTAATATTGAATTTTATTCTTACAGCTATATTAGATTATAAAGAAGGTAGGGCAAAGAATAATGTCTGCTTAGAAATGCCCACACTTTCAGATGGATATCATGTCTCAGATAAAGCTATGAAAGAGGTGGGTTTAAATTGAGTCATGATTATTTAAAGTGTATAAATAATTATGGTAGACATTGTATGCTTATTCACTTAGTAGTAATCAGGTCAGGCTTTGCTTTCCTTATTGATTCTGTGGGGATGGTAATGTTAAAGAGTCATTCCGTTGCGGTCGTCGCGGCATTCACAATTACTATATCCGAAATGCATAGCAACGGTTAGATTATACTGCTTATCAATTACTTGGGTGCATTATTATTATTCATGGTCAGTTGAGAATATACAGGGAAATATTTTAAGATAATGTCAGGTCATAATGACAAAGTGATTAAAAATAATGTGATAAATGAATAATAAGTTTTTTTATGAGTAGTATTATTCATTTTTGCTATGCTCATTAATCAAGTACCTTATATATTCATATATAAGTAGAATTTTGCTAACGTTGAAAATAAAGCGAAAAAGAGGTGTGTTCCAATAAAAACGAAAAGGCTATCTTTAGAATATTGGAGTTTGGTTTGCCAGTATGACAAGCTTCTAGAAAAAAAAGCTGTCACTTATTACATGTATAGCCGTTTGTCGATTTCACAGTTTTCTTATACCTCTCTTCTTCATTCCGGGTGGTAGTTTTAGTTATTTTCAATTCCTTTTCTCCTCCTTTCATTTTCTTACCGCTGTCCTGATAACAAGGTTTAACAACGTAAACTGATACATTTGTTTACACACATTATAGAATCATTATATAGCAGTGGTTTAAAAATTTGACTTCTGATTGTTGAGTTGGGGGTTCTGACCCTGCCTTATCATTATAGCATATGAGTGGTATTGTAGTGTTTAGTAGCATTTCAAGCCCACATAGGTTACCCTAGCTTCCAGACACACCAGTTTGTTCATTCTTTCCAAGCCATATTTTGACCTTATTGATTATTCGCTAATTGACCCTGACTGTTTTCATATGATCGTATGTGTGTTAATTGCTCGCCCTATTCATTAAGTATCTGCAACCTTTTTTTTCTGAATATAAAAATTGAGTCACGCTTTATTAAATCGAGTTGGCTAACTCGCCTTCTCAACTGCGCGTCACTTCGTCTCGTCCCGCTTCGCTTCCTCCACTTTGTCATCAATTATACTAGATGAAATTCATTTATTTTCGTATTTCTCTTTTTTGTAGAATGTACAAATTCTATTAAATTTGTATTGTAATAATCAAATGAAATTCTCTGACGGTACTTGTTGTCGTGGTTCTGAGCCAATTACACCTGTACAAGAAAAATGTTTTATATTTTACGCTATTTGGTAAGTTATAACTACAATAACATTATTATTATACACTTCATATTCACTGTGATAGAAACTATGAATGTTTGCGAAATCATTCATTAAGAATAAAATTTTAAAAATATGTAATATATAAGTCGGTTAGAGGTCTTGAAAAAATAGTTAGGTATTAAATTTATTTACATCATACTATAACTATCACTATAACTACATAAAGATAAATAAACAAGAAATTCAATTCAAAATAATAGAAATGTTTACGTGTAGAAATCGTTTGATTGCTGTCAACAAAGTGTTAGGCCCACACCGCATATGGGCTAAATTGATGTTTGATAGTAGTGACTTAACGATTGTATAAATTTTTATTAAAATTGTTGATTGTGAAATCTAAAATGCACATTTCATTTTATTTAGAACACGTTAGTTGCTGATACTTTCATCTCAGTCTTAATGTTCTCCATCATAAAACTCAGCTCCAATAAGTTTCTCTCTAAATACTAACTCACTATCCAATAAGCTTTTAAAGACCGTTTCGATAAGGTAAATAGTCACATGTTGTATCCAATACAACAGATTGGATAGTATAACATAATAAATGTTTTCAAACACACACACACACCGTTTATATGACGCTGGTAATAGAAAGCTACATACGGGTTGCGTTGGAGTAATTTATTTCAAGCATTCGTTTATCCAGACAGACATTCAGAATAAGAAGTGACAATGCGAAGCAGATCGGGGATGGTGGGTGAGCCAACCCAGTATAATCAAGTGTGACTCGTTATTTATAGTCAGACAAAAATGGGTTGCAGACATGTATTGAGTAGGATATACAGTACACGCACATATGCTCATATAAAACGGTCAAGGTTAATAAGCTAGTAATTAACAAGATCAAAATGTGACTTGAAAAGAATAAATGAATCAGTCTGTATGGAAGCTAAAATAACCTATATGGTTTTGACATAGTACTAGACACTATAAATTCTTAAGTATTACCATTTATGTTTGATAGTCTTTTCATAATAAGCAAAATAATTTCTTTGTAATACAAAGTTCAAGCTTCATTTCATCAATGAAATGAGTTTCTACTGTTTTAAGGAGTTGAATATAAATAAATCTTGATAAATTTGGATGAATTCTGTAAATAACCTTCAAGTTAACATATGAATCAATGGATTGATTTATGATGATTAAATGTCCAAAAATAGAACGCCTAACCGCTTTTCTCTTACCCTTGTTAAACTATACTGAAATATATTCTTGTATACTTATTGAAAACTCCGCCTGTAGCTCTTATAGGGTTGCTGCCGGTCCCAAGCCCAGGTAAAGGAGGAGGGTTGGGCATGGGGTTAGCGTCCCCATCCCGTAGAAAACTAACTCGCTAAAAAAACGCTTACCAGAAAAAATAATCCAAACCATTTTAACTCTGCCCTGGGAGTTAGAAGGTCTTCGTTTAGAAGAATTATGACGCTTCATGGTGAAAGCCGAGTTCCTTCGGAAGCCACGAGGCCGATGCCCCTTCTAACAACCAGAGCAAAAATTTTTATAGGTACATGGAACGTTCGAACAATGTGGGAAACCGGGAAGACCAGTCAAATAGCAACGGAAATGAGGAGATACAATTTAGCAGTACTGGAAATCAGCGAAACTCACTGGACTCAAGCTGGACAGAAAAGGCTAGCTACGGGAGAGATGCTGCTATACTCCGGTCACGAAGAGGAAAATGCTCCACACACTCAGGGAGTCGCTCTTATGCTGTCCAAAGTAGCACGAAATGCACTTGTAGGATGGGAATCTCACGGATCCAGAATCATCAAAGCATCATTCAAAACAAAGAAGGAGGGGATCTTAATGAATATTATCCAATGTTATGCACCCACCAATGATAGCAACGACGAAATTAAAGATCAGTTCTACGAGCGGCTGCAGTCAATCATTGAGAAATGCCCAAGAAAGGACCTAACTATTCTGATGGGAGATCTAAATGCCAAAGTCGGAATAGACAACACTGGATATGAAGATATTATGGGACGACATGGATTGACTGATTGAGAGAAACGAAAATGGAGAAAGATTTGCAAATCTATGTGCATTCAACAAATTGGTCATAGGAGGCACAATATTTCCACACAAGCGTATACACAAGGCTACATGGATCTCACCGGACCACACTACAGAGAACCAAATAGGTCATATTTGCATTAACAAAAAATTCCGAAGGACAATGGAAGATGTGAGAACCAGGAGAGGTGCTGACGTAGCTTCAGATCACCACCTAGTTGTAGCCAATTTAAAACTGAAGCTAAAAAAGAACTGGACAAGTGGACAAACAGCAATACAAAGGTTCAATACAGCCTTCCTTCGAGATACTGTCAAACTCAATGAATTCAAGATAGCTCTCAACAACAGGTTCCAAGCCTTACAAGATCTACTGAAAGAAGAAGAAACTACTATGGAGGACAACTGGAAAAGCATCAAAGAAGCATTAACTTCAACGTGTCAAGAGGTTCTCGGTCTAAAGAAATACCATCATAAGGAATGGATCTCTACAGAAACACTGGACAAGATCAAAGAAAGGAAGAACAAGAAGGCAGCAATAAACAACAGCCGAACACGAGCAGAGAAAGTCCAAGCACAAGCTGAATACATAGAAGCAAACAAACAAGTGAAGAGGAGCATTAGAGCCGACAAGAAGAAATACGTGGAAGAACTAGCAACGACGGCAGAAAAAGCTGCTAGAGAAGGAAATATGAAACAGCTTTACGATACAAAGAAGAAACTATCAGGGAAATACAGTAAACCAGAGAGGCCGGTCAAAGACGAAGAAGGCAGGAAAATCACCGAAATTCAACAACAGCGTAACAGATGGGTAGAATACTTTGAGGAACTCCTGAATAGGCCGGCTCCAATGAATCCACCGGACATCGAAGCAGCACACATAGATCTTCCTATAGATGTCAATCCACCAAATACGGAAGAAATTAGAATGGCCGTCAGACAAATCAACAACGGGAAATCAGCGGGACCCGACAACATACCAGCTGAAGCACTGAAATCAGACATCGAAGCAACCACAAGCATGCTTTATCTTCTATTCAAAAAGATTTGGGAGGAGGAACAAGTGCCGATGGACTGGAAAGAAGAACACCTCGTCAAGATTCCAAAGAAAGGAGATCTGAGCAAATGTGAAAACTACAGAGGCATAACACTACTGTCAATACCAGGGAAAGTCTTCAACAGAGTGTTGCTGAACCGGATGAAGGATGCAGTAGACGCCCAACTTCGAGATCAACAAGCTGGATTCCGTAAGGATCGGTCGTGCACAGACCAAATTGCAACACTACGGATCATCGTCGAACAATCAGTTGAGTGAACTCATCACTATACATCAACTTCATTGATTATGAAAAGGCATTCGACAGTGTAGATAGGAAGACATTATGGAAACTTCTTCGACACTATGGAGTTCCTGAGAAGATTGTCAATATTATCCGGAACTCATACGACGGACTACAGTGCAAAGTAGTGCATGGAGGACAGCTGACAGATGCATTCCAAGTAAGGACCGGAGTCAGACAAGGCTGTTTACTCTCTCCCTTCCTCTTTCTTCTGGTGGTCGACTGGATTATGAAGACCTCAACATCTGAAGGAAAACACGGAATACAATGGACAGCTCAGAATCAATTAGACGATTTGGACTTCTCAGATGACCTAGCCCTCCTATCACGTACACACGAACAGATGCAGATGAAGACAGCCAGTGTAGCAGCAGTCTCTGCATCAGTAGGCCTCAGCATACACAAAGGGAAAACTAAGGTCCTCAAATTCAAAGCGGAGAACAACAATCCAATCACACTTGATGGCGAAACTCTGGAAGATGTAGAGTCCTTCACATACCTGGGAAGCATCATCGATGAACAAGGAGGCTCAGATGCAGACGCAGAGGCGAGGATTGGCAAAGCAAGGGTCGCATTCCTACAATTGAAGAACATATGGAACTCAAAACAACTTTCAACCAATATCAAAGTGAGAATCTTCAATACGAACGTCAAGGCAGTTCTACTGTATGGAGCTGAAACTTGGAGAACTACAACAACCACAATCAAGAAAGTACAAGTATTTATAAATAGCTGTCTTCGCAAGATACTCAACATCCATTGGCCGGATACCATCAGCAACAGCCTTCTGTGGGAGAGAACAAACCAACTTCCAGCTGAAGAAGAAATTAGGAAAAGACGATGGAAATGGATAGGACATACATTACGCAAATCGTCAAACTGCATCACGAGGCAAGCCCTAACTTGGAATCCTGAAGGGAAGCGAAAAAGAGGAAGGCCAAAGAACACATTACGTCGGATAATAGAAACAGATATGAAAACGATGAATTACAACTGGACGGAGCTAGAAAGGATTGCCCAGGACAGGGTTGGATGGAGAATGCTGGTGAGCGGCCTATGCCCCTTCACGAGGAGTAACAGGCGTAAGTAAGTAAGTAATACTTATTGAAAGTGCCTGCTATAGCCTATATATCTTACTTGTTTTTTACTCAACTGTTTAAAAAACACAAACTCTTGTCATCCACAGAGTAAACCTCAAACTTTATATAAAAAAATAATTAAATTTTCTTTTCTATCATCTTCATTTTCTTCAAACAAAAGAAAATACGATTCATTTGCTTTCCTCTAGTAGTTTTAAAATAAATTTAAAAAAAACAAGTGACTAAAACACCATCATATATGTATTGTGCCATTATTATTATTATTATTATTATTATTATTATTATTTATTATTATTATTATTATTATTTTCGTTATCATTATTACTATTATATGTTTGTTTTTCTCATCTAGCTTTATGGTTGGTTGCTAAGCTCCCTTGTTATAATATATACATATATATATATATATATATATATATATATATATATATTTGTGTGTGTGACTGCTCGTGTTGTAGTTAATCGATATACAATTAAGAACATAACAATTAAAATTTATATTCAGGTTACTTTTTAACAATAGTTACTAATCCTAATCATTTTTATCACAATAAGCTATAATGAACTGGTATTATTGAACTTATTGTATCTTACCTTTAATTCAACCTTGAGATATGTTTTGTAAATTATATGGTTTTTAATGTTATGTAAGTAAACTTATCGTGTAATTGCTTCAGTCATCTTTTTTTTCGAAGACTACTTATTACTTTTGTAAAACACGATAATAAGCAGGAAGAGTAAATATTTGTTGTGTGCAGTTACAAAAAATTTACATAATACATATATAGATAGACTTCAATCCTTCATTTTCATCTTTCAATGTTTTCTGCCATATGAACTGTCTTCTCGTCTAGTCTCCAAATATTCTGCCAACGCCGTGCTTTCAATGTACTGAAACTCTCCACAATTGTTACAACTTCGACACTACGTTCAGCTACACACTGCTGACAAACATCCTTGTGAGCAGCTTCCACTACATTTTGAAGTTAAAAGATAATTGATTGAATGAATATACTGTTTTCCCATTGTATCTAATCATTAAGCGTATGAGTGTTTTATGAACTGTTTGTTATGGATTTATGGAAGTGAAGCGTGAAATAAACTGTAAATGTTTAGATGAGTATTAGTCTGAAATAACTTACTGTTACATAATTGATTTATGTTAACTAGTTGTGTAATCGATTTCAATAAACATTCGTAAATTGTTCATGAAATCAGTTGACAATCATATCACTAATATATTCTGATTATTCAGTAGACAGTAATGTAAATGTTGACAGCTCAGTCATTAATATTGGGTGATCGTCATGCTGTATCATGAAGTAATTGAATGTGCAAATATGAACTGATGCAAAACTCGGTGGCCAATAGGTAACTTCCTTAGTATATGGCTTAAAGACCATGAAAGGAAATATAATGATTGTTTAAAAACTAGTATATTCCGAAAGCCAACATATTCAGGGAAATTTCTAGATTTTAAGTCAGCACATCCTCACTCCACCAAAGTGACAGTGACCAAGAATTTGATAACTCGTCACTGAACCAAATGATATGGAAACGGAAATGAATTTTATTATATCCAATACTCTAAAATCAAAACTAGTAAGAATTAAAGATCCAATACACAAGAAGGAGGGACAAAATTGCTTATGAAGTCAAATGTAGTGACTGTAATGCCACATATGTAGGTGAAACATCAAAACAACTGAATGTAAGGGTGAAGGAACACAAAATATGCTTAAAACGAATTCCCAAGTCCTCAGATGATGTAAAAAAAACTCTAGAACAAATCAGCGATAGCATTACACTCAATAGAATTGGGTCATACAATTGATTTCAATGGCACAAGAATCCTTCAAAAAGGCTTTAATTTTTACAAAGAATGACTAACAGCCGAAGCCCTACACATATGGGCATATCCAACTAGTACTAATAAGAAAGATGAAATACAATTAGCTGTCCCATGGCAACTAATAATTAATAAGTAAACGTAAACTCCTTATTCCATTTTATCTATCTCTTATTATCTGAATAACAGCAATTACATTCAACGATTCTAATCAGTTGTCTTATCTGAATATGTTAAACAATTAACTGGACAACGTAAACATTCAATTGGTATCGTTTGGCTTGTATCTTCCCATTGAGGTTTAAAACTGCAACTGATCAGTCTGTTGTTAGCATATTTATTTACATTCATTTATAAATACATTCTTCCCTTTGAATTCTTTCCTTTATTTTGTTCATTTAACTTCATTTAATGCATGCTGTGACATTTTTAATTCATATCATATATAAAATGATATATTTTCTTAGTATTCACAGACCGAAGACAATATATAGTTGAATGAAATATTTTCTTATCAGAATGTGTTTTGTGGAGATTTTTTAGAAATTTTCACAGATTGAACTCATGAGTCAGTTGAAGCTAGACCACCATTGAAAACCTGGAAGCACTGGACGGCCGTTTCGTCCTAGTATGGGACTCCTCAGCAGTGCGCATCGTTACCAGTGGAGTTCAACCAGGTCTGTTGTGAGATAGGAACTCACTGAAGACAATGGTGTACGGTAGCGCAACTTCGTGGATTGGTTGAAGTTAGACATTAACACCGTTGGATGCCGGCTCAGTGGTTTAATGGTTAAGTGCTCGCGCGCGAAGCCAGTAGGTCCTGGGTTCGAGCCCCGGGTGGTGCGGGGTCGTGGATGCGCACTGCTGAGGAGTTCCATACTAGGACGAAACGGCCGTCCAGTGCTCCCAGGTTTCCAATGGTGGTCTAGCTTCAACTGACTCATGAGTTCACATCACTTACGTATACACACAATCTGTTATCTTAACACTTCGTTTCACACCACAAATTTCTTGCACACTAAAGCAAATACCTACTTTAGACATTGTTAACGTTGATTGGATGACCTATTCAGTATACGGTGAACCGGAAAACTATGTACCTATTCATATTCGATAATTTTGATGTTTGATTATATTTTCTTGAAAAAGCTTGGTCAAGGTTGCCAGGGGAAACTTTGGATTTACTTCAAACTCATTCGCTGAGATTTTACAAATAGATTCTTCCTCTTTAAGGGTGCATTGTTTGAAAAGATACGATGTATAAATTGTTCTCATTGAATATTTGCCGTGAAGACTTTAATGATCGAAACCAAGCGAAACACGCAACCGGAAACGGTAGCATTCTAAAGTGTTCCATTGCTATTTTAGAATACGCCGCAACATATATCAATTTTGTGAATACAATTGTCTTTGATAAGCAGTATAAGATGAACATAAATACATTAAGAAAGTAACGTAGCTGCAATGTCATATACGCTTCGGAATGATAGATGTCCAAAAGGATTTCAACAGTTATGAATTAGTATTTCCTCGGTAGAAAGGTTGGAACTTCATGTCATGATCCTTTGATCATAAATTGTTGATTAGGTATCTGCTGCTTGACTTGCTGGCTTTCAATAATCAATAATTACTCCTTAAAAGGGTTGTTATCATTTTATGATCCCGTTTATATGACCAATCTGAGTTCATTATTTTTATTATTATCCTAAACTTGATGTTTTAATTCACAGACTTACTTAACGTACATTTTGTAAAAGTATAGCATAGGGATAAGCTCTAGCAATTCTTAAAATAACTAACTTACAAATATTAGCCCATTATTAACCGATCAGTAAGCATTTATTGTAAATCAACAGTTTATAAGAAAAATAATAAAGATTTTGAGATGGTGGAGAAGATTTGTAGCTCAGATGGATGATTTTGGTGGAGTTTTGTTCTTTGAACCATCCAGCTCAGAGAACAAAACTCCACCAATAAAGATTTTGCATTTGTTAGTGAATCCATTGAGGTCTGCTACAGATTTATCTGTCTGTAAATCAAATGACTCATAAATTCATCTAGATGGCTGTAAAACATCTACCTTCTTAAACTCTTACATAGATTCAAGGAACTTCTGATTAATATTCCAGTTGTTATAAGTTGAAGTTCAGTATTAGGTTTAGGACTGATTTACTTGTTATGTACAATCTACATAGAAAGAATGATGCATTTAATATGGTTAATATTATCATTTTTACTCTATAGTGGCAAAAAAATAATTTCATGGTGTAATTCTAGATGTTCTACGGACTAAATAATCATACTCCTAGTGTGTTTTTCTACATGATATAAAATAAGAGTCTTTCTCTCAAAAACTCGTCTACTCGATTCTAACTGTCTTGCCCCTATTCTATACTCCTACCCACCTCTCTTATTTACCTATTCTAAAACAAAATATACTATTAAGAGACTTGATCGTCTTCGATGAAAATTAATTGTTTTTACTATATTGCTTATTGAAATTCATTTATCAAAATTAATCAAATTTAATTTGAACATACCAATTTTTTATGTGAAAATTGATTTGTCTGTGAATTGGCCCATAGAATGTCCCTTTTCTATCATGGAAAAAGTATATAAATGAATGAAGACATATTTCCATCAAAGTGTTCTTAAACTTAACTTTACAATATAATCTTTTTCCGCTAAGAATTTAAGACAAAATTACACTGGATTATTCGACAGTTTGTTGCAGTATCCATATAATTTTCGTAGTTACTATTATAGAGAGATTGTGGAGGTTTTTGAGATCATAGTTTTATATCATGAATTGACTTTAGTTGGATAATTATCAAAAACTAAGCGTTACTAACTAATTTATTCGAAAAAATCTGTACTAATTCTCAATGCCGTTACGCAGTTCGGTAGTGAGTGACGTTAATAATTTGCTTACCGATCCTTAAGTATATACTTTAAGTTAACTAATAAGTCATTAGATATTTTAATATTGCTTGGCATTAATATGATATAATTATTTACCGTATATTTCTTTATTTATGTTTTCTCCAGTGTGTTAAGTACTTTACTTTGTTTTCTGCACAATCAATTTATTTCTCGTGGTGAGTCCTGACCGAATTGTTCGTTTTCATTTTGTTATTAACGTTATAATAGTAGAGTTTTGTGCCGTTTACGTTTTTTTTGTTTTTCGGTAACCCTCTATATGCTTGTTTAAAAACCATTTGCTTTTAAAAACCAACAAACTAATTTAACTTGCTTCAAGATGAGGCCGTGTAGGAGATCATGACTACTGGACTTCAGCTATGTTTGAAGTGAAAAGATAGTCATCACTAATACCATTGAATAATCATCGCAAATCGATTGAAATTAAAAAAACCTAGCCTAGTATCTATCTAAAGATTAAATCCTCTCCCTGAAATTTGAATCTTTAGGGTTCGATTACTGTTAAGGTGCTTCATACTAGGACCAATCAGCTATTTTGTACTTCTTGACTTTCAACGACATACGAATGTTGGGGTATTCAGGAAAATATCCCAAAAATTATCCTGTTAAGCCTAGTGCTATCCTTGGACATGAAATAGTATCATCTTATTGGTCAGTATTTATTTAACGTGTCATTTTCCTACTGGCCATTATTGTACAATGTTATCTTCTATTTTATGGTACGTTGTGGACTGCTTGAATGGTATATAAACAAGTATGTTTGAAATATAATGATTCATATCTCAGAGGCTGAAACTTGTATTCTGGACTCAATTGGCTGGGCTATACAGGGAAGCGAGACCAATCAGAACCCTAGGCTGTTCTACGTGTTTATGCGTCTTTGGTCCGATCAATAATTCGCTATCCCTTAATCCGCAGCATCATTTTTCACAGTTATAACAATTGGCGACGGGGTGAAGAAAAGATACAATCCAAAGTCATTCTGTAATTGGACGAAATCCAGTCTAATTATCCAACCAATCAGCATCCAGATTGTCGTCAGTGTCCTTCAACGACATTGGTCATTAGTCATACAGTAATTCTCATCACAGGTGCTGATTCGAAAAAAATGACTCTTCCTTCCGATCGATTGCAGCTGCTCTATGAACGACATTTGGAGTTATTAGTCAAATTCCGTACGCAGCTGCTAAATCACTCACGCTGTGAAGACGCGACGGAAGTGGATGGATTGATATCTGAAATACACAGTGAGCTGGAAAATGACAGCAGCCTCCATGAATCCTCGATGAACTGTTCTTCAAACGAAACAGTCATCCATCATGCGCCCAGTGGTCCAGTACTTTCTATTCCAGAAACATGCCCGGTAATGGAGTCAAACTCCATCAACCCCGAAACAGCATTTGCAGACAGTAACATATCCAGCTCACGAGAAGATCTCATTGTTTTGCCAGAAAATGTGTTTCACGCATCAAATAATAACCAAGAACCTGGTACAGTTTTGTTGGACGTGGATTACCATAATCATCCATTATCTACTAATGATGCTCCTTATAAATTTGACAACAATATCTCAGAAGATTTGAACTCGGATGATTTCGAATTGAGTGGTGTTTATCCTCATTATCTGGTCGATTTTACTGGATTCCCTGTGCAATGTGTTTTAAATACAATCAAATTAATTGTAATTTGGGTTTATGAAGACCCAACATTATTTCGAGGGGGAGGATAGACGCGAGAAAAATTTAAAATCCGGACATCAACTCCGGATCTCCAAAAAAGGGGAGGTGTTGGGGTATTCAGGAAAATATCCCAAAAATTATCCTGTTAAGCCTAGTGCTATCCTTGGACATAAAATGGTATCATCTTATTGGTCAGTATTTATTTAACGTGTCATTTTCCTACTGGCCATTATTGTACAATGTTATCTTCTATTTTATGGTACGTTGTGGACTGCTTGAATGGTATATAAACAAGTATGTTTGAAATATAATGATTCATATATCCGAGGCTGTGACTTGTGTTCTGGACTCAACTGGCTGGGTTAGACAGGGGAGCGAGACCAATCAGAACCCTAGGTCGTTCTACGTGTTTGTGCGTCTTTGGTCCGATCAATAATTCGCTATCCCTTAATCCCTTCAGCAGCATTATTTCCACGTTATAACAACGAAAGATATCCTAAACATAATACAACTGACAGGCTTGAAATCTATTAGTTATGACACAAAATCGACTTAACAATTATGTCCAATTTTCTGTCTTCTATTGAAAAAAATCACACGAAAATCCGGCAAGAATGTCTTGAATGCACCTTTTAATAGCACACCTTTTCTGATTGTTATTATCCTTTGCTTTTATCGATCTGTTATTTGCAAACAAAATGTGTTCTTATTTTGGGTGTTTGGCTTTAATAAAAATGATTTTACGTTATCTTTTTTTCAGGAAGTTTTCGTTGGTTTTTTTGTCAGAAACTAAATAGATATTGCCCAAGGAATTTTACACCCATGTGTTGTCTTCTGTCTCCATTCGAAATTTATATATATTTAGTACAAATTTTGATCAGTTAATTGTCAGATATAAGGTAGTGATCGACTGACGGCAGTTCCAGAAAGTTTAATCTTGAATTTTATCGTTAAAAGGAGGTATAGATTTGGTGCAGAAAATTGTTTCCAATTGTTTTGACCACGGAATTAGGAATGACTATAGAATTCTCCACTATCGTTTCTACATCTCTCTTCTCGAATGTGACTTATAGGTTTTAATAAATCAGTATTATTTTCCTCTCCTCAAATCGTCATGTGCTTTGTTTATTCTCATTTTAGTAATTTTTATTTTCGACTTTAACTTTCTCGCTTTGTCCGATGTTCTGCATGGAAATATATCTACTATATAGCTGCCTGTAGAAGTGTAGATATTTGGGCTTTATTACACTCGATTCCTTATAGTGAGCACGAGTTAAATCACCATTTAAACTTGTAAGTGATTTGTTAAGTTTTAAACGTTTAGCTCACTGTACAGTAACAGTTCTGTATTACTATTGACCACTTTTACTGCGTTATAACAGCTCTTGAAAGTCACTTGTTCTAACTGATCTAGCTAATATTCACACTCTTATTATCCTCATGATTAGAATCAGCTGATTTACCGTGTTAATTTAATTTCTTCGGCATTATCTGAAGAAAAGTTTGTGGAAATGTACTTTCTTGTTCTTCGTGTGTTATGTATGAATATATGTACATGTTATTTTTCCTCCCCAGGTAAGCCATGTACACAAGTGATAAATTTTCGTAGAATATTTTTATTTTTCCGTAAAACGGCTGAAGCGCAACCATATGTCCCAGTGGAAAGTGAACCTGATGGTGATAATGGTGATAATGAGAATAATAATAATACTGATACAACCAGTTCATTATTTGTGGAATTTTATGAACTAACTAGTGCTCTGTCCAAATTTGGTGCTATTATGATGTATTTCTTTATATGTGACAGGTCAGTCTTTACGAAATATGTACCGTAACATTTCCTAAACACATATTATTTTATCTCAACTAGCTTATACGGTCAGCACATATTTTGTAATCAGTTATTATCAGTAATTTCTTTCGATAACTTTAAGTAAATGTTTCGTTAAGGACAGTACTCCTTAGTCCTGTATAAAGTTTATTCGTTTGTTCACGGTGTGTTGGTTTTTATCACCGTACTGAAAAATGAATAACAACTTAAGCGAAAAGCCAGTGCAAATAATATAGAATCACAGATATCATTTATGAGGATTTTACTCATTTTAAATCTTTTTTTCATTTTAAAATTAAAAAACTCGTTAGTTCAACATTTACCTTAATGAGACGTTCTGTTTTAGCATATTGCATGGCAGCTGGATTACAATATAAAAATTGAAGGTTGTCGACTTCATTTACTTTGTAAGATACAAAGTGCAACCGTTATCTCTGTTTCCCCAAAACTAGTGGCTTAGTTGGTATATCAGACCATGGTTCCCCATAAGGGTTTTGAGAATTTCCATTTCGAAACCTTTTGTTTGTCTTTCACACTCAGCTTTGTAGGGATTTGGTCAATTTACTGATAATATTCGCCAATAAATATGATTATCTAGAAAACGAAAAAACGTTGAACTGTCGTATTCTTTGGTTTTGAAACCCATTGAACAATTCTCACCACCTTTTTTATGACCATTCTAATTCAAAAAGGAGCTGATTTTTTTCATCCGTTGTCAATTTGATGTTAATCTTTTATACAAAAAGTATACATTTTTTTACTTTATGTGGTTTGTAGTAAACATTATTATGAATTCAACTTCTTTAAAGTGACCTAATCGGATCAATAAATTATTCAGTCCACTAACGATGGGTTCGCACTACACTTAGTGGTTAAGGCGTTGAACTTCCGATCCCCAAAACTCAGGTTCGAGCCCCACTGTGCCTACTTCGTTTTGGGTAACCGTGTTGTATCACGCTTAGAATGTATCCCATACATTGGCGAATCAGTTAATTAGAAATTAATACGTCAACAACACTAGTGGCCTTCGATTAACCAATGTGCCTATTAAGTGTGCTGATGGTTATTGTCTCGCACTCACTCTGCTCACAACCTGGTCAATCAAAACACGAGAATTGAAGTCCGATTTAGTTTCCATATTTTAACTTAAAAGTAATATACGTCTTTTACGAGACTACAACATACCGTAAGTGATAAATCACAGTCTTTGCATAATTAGGTCTTCTGTGGTACTAACCTGCGTAGAGAGTGCAAAACTGATTAACCGTAATTTATGGGCTATAAAAGATATATTAACAGCTATTGCATCAAATGCTATTACCATAAACCAAATATTAAATAAATACACCATACAGAGCGAGTATAATCCTCAAAGTTTCGCCTTTTGCACTTATTCACCCGTATCCTCAAATTACCTTTAATTATTTGTATCTACGCAAATTTGTAGTAATAACTTTTTATTTTTAAACATTTCATCAACTTAATTAAATTATTCTTTTCTGCCTATTATTATCATTATTACTGACTAGTAATATCCTGATATCTATTTTGAAACATTGTAGAACAATACTATTCATGAAGGCCAATAAACGTTATACAAATTTGAGCTTTTTTCTGCCGATTATCTATTGCTTCGTGTTAGGTTTATTCTTTAGTGGACCAACTAAACGAGTAAGTATTTCTTCACTATCCACATATAATAATAACTTTTAAACTGGGGTATAAGCCGGTGTTCTGATTAGATCTTCTCACGTGTTAGTTGACAGACTATAAGACATTACACGGATAACTGGGTTTTTTAATTAAGCCTTTCATTTTCATACAGAGATATTCACTGTGGGATTGAACTAATTATTGAACGAAAACTGATTACTTAAATATGTTCATGTAGGCAATTACCTAAACAACAGTTCTACTATTTTGCCTATTGTTCAAACCTTTGTTAAACAAAGAATTCAGTTACCTACTTGACTAAATTGATCAAGTAACATTGGCTAAGTCCGATAAAGCAAAAACAGCTGAACTGGTAAATACAAATGTGATTCTCAAAACCAGATGACATATTTTTTCATGCGACCACTGTTGAACCATTAGAAATGATCAACAAATAATGACTGGGTCATCACAGTATGTTGACCCAACCACCACTTTTATGTAGCAGCCACTACTGTCGCGACCAAAATATCCCCACTAATGTTGATTATGCCAACTTCATTAATATTAAAAGGATATTCAGTTCTTTGGATGCACTCTTGTCATGTATAAACATAATAGAAGAAATTCCTACCTCTTATATATGAGGTATTTCGAAGTTGATCTATATCAATGATTGTATGGCAACTCGAACTGATGTACGTACGTACGAAGTTCTACGTTGGTACTGACTGACTGACTGATTCTTTTAACTCAGTCCAATTACATTTTTAATGAAAAACTAAAATAGCGATTTCAAATCTCCCTTACAAATTCTCCATCTTTTTTATTGCTTTAAGCAGATAACTAGTCATTCATTCAGTTTACTGTTAAGATGATCAGAAAGTTAGTCTGATATTTAAAGCTTTGAACTAATTCACCACATAATTATTTCTCGTTACTTTTCGTTTAATACTTAACTAACTGTTTACGAAATCCATTACTTACATCTAATATTGTCTTAAATATACTTCCAGTGGTGGCTATTTCATCATCTAACTTTGTCACATATTTGTCTTCAAAGATAACATCTTTGTGTAAGATTATAAAGATATGTTACCTTGAAACCATCGGCGATTCACAGTATTAGGATAATATATTTCTATTTAGTAGGTTTGCTGATAGAATTCAGAGTCTTTTGAATTCTTTAGGCTACAATAGAAAAGCCTTTTTGATTGATTTTCATCCTCTCCTTCCCCATGATAAACCGTCATTTCAACCCAGGTCTGCTTCCATAAGTAGTTTCATTGTGGGTATTGAAATAGTCGAGTAGGCCTAAGATTTCACTTGTCCTATGATCATATCAGTCCTAGTAGATGACTGGTGGAATTTTGGTATTAATCTAAGATGCTCACTCACCTTTCGTCATCGTGGACCGTCTGTCTGTCAAAGAATGAGCATAATGTACTACAGTTTACTCTTTATTACCTTATAACCATGTAATATGGTCTTTGAAGGTAGAGGGTATGAGAATGCTTTTGCTATTTCACCATAGATGCCTTCGATGTTACGAACAACAAAACTTTCAGTTGCCACCTATATTGACAGACTACTGTTAAGCGTAGATGTAGGTCGGAAGAATTCTAAGTATATCCACAATATATATGCCAGTCCATGAAGTCACTAGCTGAACCGTGACAAAAGGAGGAGACTTCTTGACTAGGGTTAGAGAAATTATCATAATCAGTGATTAGAACCCGTCTTTATACTTGACTTTGAAATACACTTCTTGAGTAAGAGCTCTCATAACTATCTGGCTCACCTAACAGAAACAGATCAAGAACGGTTTCAACCAGTGACCTATTAGTTGATAGGTGATCACTTTGATTAATAATGTGAAGTTGGTAATGCTATACTTTTCATCCTCTAACCTTTTTATTTGTTTTTTCGAACAACATTTTTTTATAATAAATACATTTTTGACATATCCCAATGAGTAAAAAAATTTCTGACATTTCGTGTCATAATGTAAGCCATTTCTTCAGAGTAACTAAATAACCGAACATTTTTATGTTCAGTCTAAACTAACAATCATAATAATAATACTTTTTTAGTATTATTTTGACTTATTTATACTTCTTTGTGTTAATTTACACGCTTATTATACTTGACCAATGTACATTTATACCAAGTCCTACATTATCCATCATTGATTTACCCTTTTATATTTTTAACATCGAATTCTTATGCTCCATCGTCATGTCATTCTAACCCATATAATCTCAATAACTATCTCGATTAGTGTGCTTTGTTTTATATTAAAACTATCATTGTACCAACTATCATTCGCGGTACTCATTAGTTGCTGGATCAAATAGTTTTCATCATTATTAAGTTTAATACTTCCAAACACGTGAAATGTTCAAATGAATTCAATTAAGCGCCGTTTATAAAATTTCATGTCAAAGATAGTATATGCTTGCTCAGTTCAGTCCCAGTTCAATTTAACAATGTATGATAAAGCATCATTGTTTATCTGTTATGGATAAGGTTTTAAATTAATAATACAACAAAGTTTTCGACTAATAAATTCGATTAGCAGAATTCTAATCGATAGATCAATCCAATGATATAATATGGCCGAGTAGTGGCTACTCATGTGTTTGCATAATTTGCTCAAGTTCTTGGATGCTTAGAAATCGAAAAAAAATCACTAGCCAGATGAATAGACTTTTTTGTAACAATATCAAATGCTTATACACAGAATAAACATGATAAAATGTCTTTGGCGATTGGAGGAAATTAGGTTATTCCAATCAACTAGGATCTGACTGGTAAGATAAATCTGTGGACATCTTATCAATAATGTTTTCATGTGTTTATTATCAATGTAACAGTAAATATGGTAGATACACTTTGCTATGTAATTTAATAGTGTGTCTTCGAATTCTCATCCTATGGTCTTACAGTACACTTCTGTAGAATAATACATATGAACTGTTGTAATGGATTATTTGTAGCTTGTTCGCATTGAATCCCATATCATTCTCCGACTTTACATTAGCCCACCCATAATAAGTGTTGAATTAATGCATAATGTGTATTCACATGAAGCTCAGAAATAACTTCTATTCAAGCTGGAAATGATAATGAACATGAATAGATTACGGTTATTAACTCGTCGATACCCAGAAAACAGGCTGTTAATAACAAAGTTTTGCACATGAAATATAAGTTAGTAAATATATTATAAATTACCCATCCGATTTCACCAACAGCTTATTATTGAATACAGTACAGAATGATAAAACGCTAGCGGACAATTGTTTAAAAAAATGCTTATTACACAGATGGACACCAGAATAACGTCTCTTACCTATTTAATGAGACTGTTAATAGTTTTTAAGTTTAACTTTCTAAATGGATATAACCCGAATTATTCATTTAAGAGCCATGTTTTTATACATGAAAGGTTTTTTACAACTGGTAAATTGTTTCATCCTAGTATGGGCTTTTTCCCTAGTGTATACCCACGAATCCGTATAATTTTTACTTTATATCTCTCATCAACCACGACGTTATCCAGTAATTCGTATTTTTCGACTGTTGTAAAACTACCTCACACCTAAGTTGACTAACTTTATGCATCAAATCTTTTTATTAGAACTTCAGAAAAGCCATCTTGAAACCAGGTACTACTGGATACACTATTTTTGTTTTAGATCAAGTAATATAGTTTTACAGATACATTTTATCGTGATTTGTCATTAATTGTAAAAAGGATCGATTTTAAACGGCTGATCCCCACATGAAACATACATATTATCATTTTGCTTTTTCTACAGTCTCAAGTAAATCATTTGGATATAACACGTGAATGGAAAGGATGGATGCAATTATATCTTCTAATTTATCATTTTACTGATTCTTATAGAGTAAGTTAACTCATATCTTTTTTCTATTATAGTTTATTTAATCAATAAAGAATTTGTTTTAAGTAGTCTATACAATTTTTAGGAGTATGCAAAAGTAGAAAAAAAATTTAAAAACTGAAAACATTATAATTAGATAAATCAAGAATTATTAGACAAATATGCTGTGCTTATAAAATGGTAGATTAGATATGCAACTCAGTTTGATTCTTTTAACAGTGTTGTGTGTTCTCTGATCTAAATAGTTCGATTGAAAAACTTTCATTGCTTTTTTAGACAATATAACTTAGACGCTGATGGTAATATCCAGAATGACATTGAACACTCGGCAGTTAAATTATTTAGCTTAAAAAACACAACACTAGTAGATTCAGTTCTTATGAAATATATGTACATCGGTCATAATTATATAACATGAAGTCAGTCGAATCACTTTCTATACATACGATATTTAACTTTTCTAATCAGTGAATTCCGATATCTCGTAATTTCTGTCCTAATCAATACATAATTACTCGATTCATTGTTAAAGCACACTAATCTGTTATTGTTTTCGACTGATCACTGTACAAAAGCTAAGAATATATGAATAATATCTAAAATCATACAATACATCAAAACCGTTCCTTTGTAGAACACAGTCTAAATTTTGACTTTTAAAGTTCCTCAAGTGTTTAAACTATTCAAATAAAAGATCTTTCTAAACTTATCTCATCGATGAAACTATTGAGAATGTATTGAAAAATAAAACTTCATCGTTAACTTTCTTTGTAATCACATGTATCTTATTTTAATCGTAAAAACAGTTATCGTAATCAAAGTTTCCCTTTTGATTAAAATGACTTTTTTTCAATATTCTATGCTCCTACTATATTTATTTATTTATTCTTGCTATCATCATAATAACGTTTTATTTTAATTTTTTCCTTGGCTTTTTTTGTTTTTATTTAAACAAACAAGGTAACTCCGATTTTCATGTCAGCTCGTCTTGTTGTATCGAGTTATCTGTTTCTGTCAGGATATGGACATTTTTGTTATTTTTGGCGTAAACCTGTACCACAAATTAATTGGTTAAAATTATTGAATGTAAGCTTATTTTTCTTTCTTTCCCTATATAATTATCAATTCTGTGTATTTCCGTCACATGTTTACTATTATTAAATATTCAACGGATTATCTTGAGTGTAGAAATTCTATGTAATCCTAAATGACTAGTTTAGAGAGATAATTCTCGGAATTCTATTGATTTCAATCTTTAAAATATAGAGTGTGAATTTCGTTATCAGGGTGAATAATCAAAGAGTTTTAGGAGAAGCAGTGATTAGTGTAGTTCAACGGTGTGGGTTGTGAAGTGATCACTCACTAAATTTTAAATAAATTAATCGAATTACACTTAACACTGATTTGTCAATAGCTTAAGGCATAAACATAATTTACAATACCACAAGATTAAATTGCTATAACCAACAAAGATAACTAATTTACCGAGTTAAATACTTAGTCCTTTCAAATAATTTCTTGCTAGCTAGGCTTTTTACGACTTTAGTATTCAGTGTTCAGAGGATATCATCTCCATAGCTCAATGTTAATCACTAATTTTACACGACATGTAAGAAAATAGCTTCAGTAATCAATTTATGACATCTGAATATTGTTAATATACTCCCAAACTAAGACAGAGCAGCTTCTTGGCTTTCAATAATTGTTTAATTAGAGTCATCCTATTATGTAAACTATAAAATGCAACACTTCTGTTTAATTTGTAGATATAAGTTTCCGATAGCTGAACTAATAAAGGCACTTGAAGGTGGGTTAGCATTAGATATTTTTTAACTTATACATATGAACATAAACGCTCCGGAACGAGTTACGCCTCCGCATTTGTGCCTGCATACGTTGAAAATATTCCCTATTAATTATATATATATATATATATATATATATATATGATCTTTACTGAATTGCTTCAATAGGTCTTAGCAAATCAATGACATTCTTTATAGTAATTATGTTTATAGAATAAATTTTCATAACTGAAATATGATACTGTATGATGTGTTTTACATGTTATTTAAATGGATAGGTGTCAGAATATACCTTTAACTAAATCATTTTTTATTTAAAAAGCAAACAACCCTATAGTTTGTATTCATATTTTTAATATTCATGGTTAAACTTCATTCTAAATATCCTGTCGTTTTGACCGTACTAATAAAAATAGTTTTCTAACTGCTTACAAGTTGCATGATAAGATAACCTTTGATAAACACTCAAGTGTACATACGATAAACTTATATTTGATTTAGAAATTTCGTTTTACATATGAAAGGTAGTTTCTCACAGGTAGATTTCCTAATAGTATTTTACTTGTTACTCTGATCTTAAATTTTATCAAATGATTCCCCTTAGCTATAGGTTCATAAAAGAATTTTAGGCGATTCCTAGAGCTAACCACCAATAAGCATTAAAGGTTTTGTTTCAATCGAGTTAGTTAGATATCTCTCCTGTTAAAATGTCAGATGTTCATTTATTATTTATAAGCTAGTATATGCCTTGATCTATAGTTCGCTCAGAATCAAGTTTTTAGATCTTTTGTTTAAATAATTTACTACTCCTTGAGAAATACTTGTTGCCAGATCTACTACATAACTATTCAAATAGAAATAAGTTTGGGTCAATAATATGAACCTATTGTGGAATGAATAAAAGTCAAGTGTTACAGTTTCACAAATTTTTATTCTTTAGACTTTAAATTAGAAATCTGCATCTCATTCCTATTCCCAATATACGGTATGCTAAGAAATGTTACTCTCTTCGAAAAATTGAATAATAAACTCTAATTTATTCGTTTGTGCCCAGTTTATTAATCGTTAAATGACTTCTAAAATAAACTAGAATGGTCTAGTTTTTAGAGGTTCCACTTTGGATATATTGAGGATGCTAAAACCCCATGAATCACTTGGTAAATGTCACATTTTATTTGAGAGTTAAATTTCTCGTTTTCGCGCCGAAAACGCTCACTTTTAACTCTAGTTTGTATTTTCCACTTGGAAGAACCTTAAGTGCCATTGGTTCGTTTCCTGTATTAGTACACGACGACATTTTTGAACTGTATATATTCGCATAAGTTGTGTGCTTGTTTGTTCGTTCCTGTGGGCTGCTTGTGGAATATACATTTCCCTCGACTGAATCTAATCTTTTTTAGTCTAGTTAACAGGGCTAAGACACAGTGGAATAGTTTAGCTTGTCCTGTTGTTGTGTTGCTGACTTTTGTTCCGTTCGCCGGTTTAAGTGATGTCATAGTAAATATTACTTTATTTAATAATGTTTAATGAATAAATTAAACTTATACTATTGCAGCTACAATTCACGTTATCTGACGTATTATACCGCCCATATATAGTAATTAGACGAACTTTTTTCTTATTTTGTAGTATCGTCGTTGCTCCAGAGAATTCTGCAGTGCATGGAAAGCATTATGGCAAATTTTACATCGATATTTAATTGTATGTATTCTTCTTTTTGTTGGAAAAGTTGATTTTAAGATGTAATCTATTTAGTACTACTTTTCAATTCACAGTTTTAGCCAATTTTCCAACCTTGTAGAGATTTAATTGTTCTTCAAACGTATTGCATTTTAATAGGTATATCAAGAGTGTTAAAGGATCATCCGTTTTTTAATTTTGTAAATAACTCTGGCATTTAATTTACGTACAAATAGTCATACTAAGTTTGACACATTTCTGATGAATAGAAGTCTGTTGGTAAAAATTTGTATTTTCCCGTTGTTGATGTTAAAACCTCCAATTGATCAAGTACATCCGTCTGACAAGTCCCAAACAGAACGAAACACGCATTCTGGATTTCATTATTTGAACGTGGGTTCAATAAACCATTAAAGTCTGTTCGAGCACACTTTATGTGAAACAAGTAGCACTTAATTTTTATAAATTACCTGTTTATTTGAAACAAAAATTTAAAAACGTGTGTACTAGTACAGAATTAAATATGATGTCTCGGTGATACGTGAATACTTTGGATGACGTAAAAATAGTCTTAGCTCAGTATGAAGATGTTGGAGTTTTGTGGTCGCTGACTTGTACGGTTTAGTTTTGAAGGCTTCATTGTTCTACTGAACAACATCGTCAGTATGTACTTCAAAGGGGAGTAAAGTAATGGAACTTCTCAACAATTGACTAACAACTCGTTCTGATGACGTGAGATTCAATTGATAGTTATCCATAACTATGTGGTCGTTATGTACTTATTTGTTTTGGTTGTTTTCTATCTCTTCTGTTATGCACAATAACTAATCAAGTTCCTTGTCAACAGAACAAGCTGTTATTCAATCGTGAAGAAATCCTAATAACAAAATCCTATTTGAAATACGTGCTGATGATTTTTTTTTGCAGAAAAACAGAGACCTTCATAACTAAACCTTACAGGTCGGAGACCACAACACCTCCAGACAATAATCCACATATAAATAGCATCATTCATTATATATTGCACTGTTTGTATAAAATGACAGCGTACTGGAAGAGGGTTAAGTGTCAGCTCACAAGTTATGTTAGATGTATGCATAAGTTAACACCTATAAATACTGATTTTTATGTTAATCTACACGCTTTCGGTGCAATTTCATAAATTACTGAGTCATATTTCACAATAGTATATCTTTAAAAATATCTCACGTTATTAATAAAGTTTAAGCGCTGTCTCTAAACCGTGAATTGTACCATAATTATATTCAATCTAAGGAAAGAATGTTTCACTGTTATTCATCTGTAGGAAAATATTACTTACCAGTTAGATAGTTTCCCACGCAATATTACGGTGAGTTCTATCATCTCCTTGTAATTGTAATCAGCAAAATCACATTTTCCTATACGACACAAACCAGCAGTAAGTGCAATGTTATGACCAGTCTGTAACTTCTGTCTAATCGTACAATAGAGTGTGATACATAATTCAGGCTTATAACCAATTTTTCAGTTTGATTTCTCCATCGAAGACCTAACTGATCTTAACATGGATAATTGGCCAATATTTACTACTTTACTGAAACCAACTAATTGGATGATTTTACTCTTCTTCTTGTATCATCTGTTTTGTTTTACTAATCATCCCTATCAATCATATTTTATATTTGTTATATTTCATTGTTTACAGGTTATTTATCGTTTTAATTTCTTCGTCTTTGGATTATGTCTAGTTATGAATCGCGGTTATTTAGCTTATTATTTTATTCCATTAGTATCATTTTGGTTCACTGTTACAATGATTGTTTGTGTTATATTCCCTCGTGTATCTGGTCAAAAAGTATCTGAAAATCAAAATAATCGGGATAATATCGATTGTAATGATAACAGCAGTAATCATAATATCACTAGTAATCATAATAATAATAATGCTCTTTCTACTCATGCTAACAATGTTAACAACATGACTACTACTCCTATTCCTTCTACAACTGCATCTACAAGTACCCCGTCTAACGCAACTGCCACTTCTACCGCTACAACTAATAACTCCTACAACTACAATCGTAACCGTTATTTCAATCACCAATACTTTACTACTAACTACGAGGAATATCCACCTAATCATCAATATATAGAATCAGATGATGAAATTTATTCCCATCAATCTCCAAGACGATCTAGCCTGAACATGAATAAATCATTCCTGTTACCCACCTCATCGCCATCATCCCTGCTGTCATCAACAGATACAGTAATTGGTGAAATATCTGATTATATTCCATGTCATTCTTCATCTGCACGTAAATTAACGGCACCAATTAATTATAATTTACATAAGGGTCATTATAAAGCGTTATCACTCGGTACAGGATTTGATCTCTGTCAAAATTATTCTCTTATTACTACTGATACTGATAGTTCTGTTCCTTGTAATCCTCAATTTTGTCATTATCAAGCCAATCAAAAACTTGTTGGACATCGATTACATCGCTCCGTTGTTAAGTCACGTGGACGTCTTGGTCCACCGTTAACGGAAGATTTAATTCGTAAATTTCAATGCATTGTTTTACCATTAAAAAAGAAGATATCACCAGCAACATCGTCGACACTGAGCGCAACAACAACAATAACCACGAATAAAAAGCGAATGGTAATCATGAACCAGAAATTAAAACAGCCATTGGATTCTACTACTAATACTACTATTATTACTACTTCTACTACTAATAAATGTCGTCGATATTTCAAATCAATATGTTTCATTCATTGTAGTCGTATACGATTGACTTACGTATTAATGATAATAAAATTTATTGGTTTAATATGTTTTATCGAATCATTGTATCGTTCAAGAGGATTCTTTCATTGGTTATTCTTCTCAGGGTAAGGTTTCTATGAATTAGGTCATTTTTATTGTGTATTGATTGTTTCTCAGTTTTAATAAATTTACACTCTAAGTCAAATGATAGTTTAAACCAAGAAATAACATTGACTATGGTATAATTCAATAAAAACCGTCACGTTGTAGGTTTGAAGCATACTTTAACTACATTTATTGACTCCAGAATCACATCGTCATTGGACCGAAATAAAATCACTTCTATAATAATTTTACATAAAATAATATCGCATAGGTGAAAATACATAGAGTTAATCTAAAACACACGCACACACTAAATACAGTTCACCTGAATTGGTGAGAAGAATAGAATTTTATCAATGAACGAAGTTCATACCTATCATCCGGATTTCATAATGAATTGATACCGAAAAACCGAAATAATATCATCTTTTTATCCCATCATATCAAATAGTCAAGGAATTCTCTTTATCCGAGACACATAAAATGGCTATGCAATATCAATGTAGTCGGACAACTTTTGTCAGTAACATACTCTCTCAGGCGTACTACCAAATTTCACTCTCCATTAATGTTAAAACTCCAATATTCGCTTGTCAATAAAAAATTAACTAATCTATAGTAAGTTGTTATTACTAGTATGATTGTGAATTCCCATTTTATGATTATTCGCACAGTAAACTTATTAGATGATTTTATTTGAATACGTGAGATTGATTAGGTCGTAAATGTACTGTAATCATAATCAGTAGTGTTAATAGCTTATAGTAATATATTGAATTTTTCTTACATTTTCAAATGAACACAATCTTTTCAGACCACAAAAGTATATATTTCAATATCATCGTGAGTATACACCAGCACAGAAAGATGTTACCAATAATGATGAAAAAATATGGTTTTTTCGTTGGTCAATCGATCGTTATTCGGCTGTTTACGGTATGATATTTGCCTTCCTGTGCGAATCCCTACGACAAATTGGAGTGTTAGAAGATACCGTTGATGATAACAGCGGTGATAATTATGCTGTCACTGGTTATCTACAAGGCATTAAGCAGTCGGATGAAATTCGTTATTCTCGATTACCACTGAGTAGTAAGAATTACAATCTTACTACCACTGTCGCTACCAATAATAATGATGATAATCATAGTAGTGATGTCAATAATCATAAAATTAACAATGATGACATGGATACTGATTATCATAAACGATTTCAAAAAGCTAATCATAAAACATTCCATTGTCAGAATGATTACAATGATGAGTCTTATGAATATTTAAATCATTCAACATCTTATGAAATCAAACATTATGATAACATTTTCAATTCAACTGTTCAATATTCAAATCATTTGCAAAAACCAATGAATAGTACTAACAATTTATCATCGTCGTCATCATCATCCACATTATTGAGTCATTTGAATGAACATAATAACGAAATTTCTTATTTGTCTATGCTTATATACAAATGTTTCTCACCGTTAGGTTTAACCGTATTAGGCATAATTGGTCTAATGGTAAGAGAATAGTTTCATTTATTTTTGGAAAAAGTATTTATCATATAATTTTAATATTTCTTTATTCTGATCTGCTTCGTTTCATCAGGAATTGACATTGTAAATTTCTTAATATGATCTTAATGTCAATCGATCTGTTATAATAGAAAGCATTAGGCATAGACTATGTATTTATTGATATGTTTATTTTAAGCACAAAAAATCTGGTACAAAAACGCCAGAAAAGACAGAATACTCCACATAAAGTATGGATGATACTGCGAAGAAACATGATATGTATTTAAAGATAATGAAGAAAACACAAAATAGTTAACAAAAACAGTATATGTTAGAAGAAATAGTTCAGTTAATAAATATAAAAGAGACGATTCGAAATTCTTTCAGTTAAAGAAGTTTCTCTCACATTTATGAAAATTGTGAATAAAAACTACAGCGCGATCATCATTGGTCTCTGTTCTGAACTATGTCTGATAACGTCGCAGCTTGCTGAATTACATCATCTCTCGGACCCAAAACAAGGAGTCGGGATGGACTGACATATGCCAATCCTATACAGCTTTATTTCATATCATAAACTGACCAGTCCCAGTGTCGGTAAGTAATGCACGATTTGAAAGCCGATGGAACCACATTCGTAAATGAAGTCTATAACAACGAAACCGCTGTTTCATGATGGTGATTCTGTAGTGAACAGAACACGAGTGGGGACAATCGAATGTATTTAACACAAAATTACAAGACTTGTTAATAAAATCTAACAATCATAAAGTAATGCTTAATTTGCAAAATGTCCACCAACTGTCTCAAAATGACTCAGACTTCATTGTTCTTGCATTTTCATACAAATTGCATCTTGTTTCCATTCTTTACTGTTCGATCCTCTTGTCTCTCTGCTGCCAGACCTTCTGTTCACGACTAACATCATATACTACTTATGTCAATATAAGTAGCACACACCACAATAATTGAATTATCGTTACTAGTAGTGTTGACACTAAATGTTAGCGATGCTTCAGGGACTATGGTAATCGAACACAGAGTTAACGTACATCCTCAGCTTGGACATTCCAGGTTTCGCGAGCATAAAACAAAACTACTCTCACCTCTTACAATCAGACTATTATTGCGACGGCACCCAAGATGGCTCAGATTGGCATTAACAGGTTAAGCTTTCACAATACATAAATTGACCTCATCAGTCACGCTACCACTAAAACTCACATAACTACTCAAATACACAAACTTTCCAACTATTTTCAACTGGTCACTGTTAAAAGTTATTGCAAGCACGGATTCTTGCTAGTCTTATAGAAGTACTATGCACAATATAAAGATGAATAAATTAGTTGGATAGAAGGTGAAAGGTTATTTCAAAGCTGAATATCTAAAGAGAGACAAAGAGTGGATCCTCCTTCCCAACTTCAACCGACCTTGAGTCATGTCACCCGTCTCCAACTATTAGTTACGGTAATCGTACAGACAGCTAGTTTGCACTTATCTACATCACTCAGTTTAACTTCCTATTGTAGAGCTTTAGTTGAGATCATGAACCAATCAATGTTAAGCCACCATTGAAACCTTTGAGGCATTAGACGGCCGATTCGTCCTAATTTGGGACTCCTCAGAGGTACGCATCCACGGTCCCTCGCATGGGGCTCAAGCCCAGGACCTTCGGTCCCGCGCGCGAATGCTTAACCTCTAGACCACTCATCCGGCACCTAACGATGTTAATATCTAACCAATCCACGAAATCGCGCGACCATCTTCCATTGTCTTCGGTGAGTAACTGTCTCATACCCAACATGGTAGAACTCCATTAGTTACGGCTTCTCACTAAAACTCAGAAAATCACCTCTCGAAGCTATTCATTAGTGTAGCCTTAATTATATCTTGTTTGCCAAACATTCTCATAGCATAATAATTCTTTAAAGACTTACAAATAAGGTTCACAGATAATAATATTGTTGAATTTCACCCTTTATCTTTGCTTCTCCGATATTTATGTGCTTGACTGACTGACTATAGGTCCATCTGTGGCCCCCTTATCAAGATATATTTGTACTTACTTACTTACGCCTGTTACTCCTCGTGAAGGAGCATAGGCCGCTCACCAGCATTCTCCATCCAACCCTGTCCTGGGCAATCCTTTCTAGCTCCGTCCAGTTGTAATTCATCGTTTTCATATCTGCTTTTATTATCTGACGCAATGTGTTCTTTGGCCTTCCTCTTTTTCGCTTCCCTTCAGGATTCCAAGTTAGGGCTTCCCTCGTGATGCAGTTTGACGATTTGCGTAATGTATGTCCTATCCATTTCCATCGTCTTTTCCTAATTTCTTCTTCAGCTGGAAGTTGGTTTGTTCTCTCCCACAGAAGGCTGTTGCTGATGGTATCCGGCCAATGGATGTTGAGTATCTTGCGTAGACAGTTATTTATAAATACTTGTACTTTCTTGATTGTGGTTGTTGTAGTTCTCCAAGTTTCAGCTCCGTACAGTAGAACTGCCTTGACGTTCGTATTGAAGATTCTCACTTTGATATTGGTTGAAAGTTGTTTTGAGTTCCATATGTTTTTTAATTGTAGGAATGCGGCCCTTGCTTTGCCAATCCTCGCCTTCACGTCTGCATCTGAACCTCCTTGTTCATCGATGATGCTTCCCAGGTATGTGAAAGACTCTACATCTTCCAGAGTTTCACCATCAAGTGTGGTTGGATTGCTGTTCTCCGCTTTGAATTTGAGGACCTTAGTTTTCCCTTTGTGTATGCTGAGGCCTACTGATGCAGAGACTGCTGCTACACTGGCTGTCTTCATCTGCATCTGTTCGTGTGTACGTGATAGGAGGGCTAGGTCATCTGAGAAGTCCAAATCGTCTAATTGATTCTGAGCTGTCCATTGTATACCGTGTTTTCCTTCAGATGTTGAGGTCTTCATAATCCAGTCGACCACCAGAAGAAAGAGGAAGGGAGAGAGTAAACAGCCTTGTCTGACTCCGGTCCTTACTTGGAATGCATCTGTCAGCTGTCCTCCATGCACTACTTTGCACTGTAGTCCGTCGTATGAGTTCCGGATAATATTGAAAATCTTCTCAGGAACTCCGTAGTGTCGAAGAAGTTTCCATAATGTCTTCCTATCTACACTGTCGAATGCCTTTTCATAATCAATGAAGTTGATGTATAGTGATGAGTTCACTCAACTGATTGTTCGACGATGATCCGTAGTGTTGCAATTTGGTCTGTGCACGACCGATCCTTACGGAATCCAGCTTGTTGATCTCGAAGTTGGGCGTCTACTGCATCCTTCATCCGGTTCAGCAACACTCTGTTGAAGACTTTCCCTGGTATTGACAGTAGTGTTATGCCTCTGTAGTTTTCACATTTGCTCAGATCTCCTTTCTTTGGAATCTTGACGAGGTGTCCTTCTTTCCAGTCCATCGGCACTTGTTCCTCCTCCCAAATCTTTTTGAATAGAAGATAAAGCATGCTTGTGGTTGTTTCGATGTCTGATTTCAGTGCTTCAGCTGGTATGTTGTCGGGTCCCGCTGATTTCCCGTTCTTGATTTGTCTGACGGCCATTCTAATTTCTTCCGTAGTTGGTGGATTGACATCTATAGGAAGATCTATGTGTGCTGCTTCGATGTCCACTGGATTCATTGGAGCCGGCCCATTCAGGAGTTCCTCAAAGTATTCTACCCATCTGTTACGCTGTTGTTGAATTTCGGTGATTTTCCTGCCTTCTTCGTCTTTGACCGGCCTCTCTGGTTTACTGTATTTCCCTGATAGTTTCTTCTTTGTATCGTAAAGCTGTTTCATATTTCCTTCTCTAGCAGCTTTTTCTGCCGTCGTTGCTAGTTCTTCCACGTATTTCTTCTTGTCGGCTCTAATGCTCCTCTTCACTTGTTTGTTTGCTTCTATGTATTCAGCTTGTGCTTGGACTTTCTCTGCTCGTGTTCGGCTGTTGTTTATTGCTGCCTTCTTGTTCTTCCTTTCTTTGATCTTGTCCAGTGTTTCTGTAGAGATCCATTCCTTATGATGGTATTTCTTTAGACCGAGAACCTCTTGACACGTTGAAGTTAATGCTTCTTTGATGCTTTCCCAGTTGTCCTCCATAGTAGTTTCTTCTTCTTTCAGTAGATCTTGTAAGGCTTGGAACCTGTTGTTGAGAGCTATCTTGAATTCATTGAGTTTGACAGTATCTCGAAGGAAGGCTGTATTGAACCTTTGTATTGCTGTTTGTCCACTTGTCCAGTTCTTTTTTAGCTTCAGTTTTAAATTGGCTACAACTAGGTGGTGATCTGAAGCTACGTCAGCACCTCTCCTGGTTCTCACATCTTCCATTGTCCTTCGGAATTTTTTGTTAATGCAAATATGACCTATTTGGTTCTCTGTAGTGTGGTCCGGTGAGATCCATGTAGCCTTGTGTATACGCTTGTGTGGAAATATTGTGCCTCCTATGACCAATTTGTTGAATGCACATAGATTTGCAAATCTTTCTCCATTTTCGTTTCTCTCAATCAGTCAATCCATGTCGTCCCATAATATCTTCATATCCAGTGTTGTCTATTCCGACTTTGGCATTTAGATCTCCCATCAGAATAGTTAGGTCCTTTCTTGGGCATTTCTCAATGATTGACTGCAGCCGCTCGTAGAACTGATCTTTAATTTCGTCGTTGCTATCATTGGTGGGTGCATAACATTGGATAATATTCATTAAGATCCCCTCCTTCTTTGTTTTGAATGATGCTTTGATGATTCTGGATCCGTGAGATTCCCATCCTACAAGTGCATTTCGTGCTACTTTGGACAGCATAAGAGCGACTCCCTGAGTGTGTGGAGCATTGTCCTCTTCGTGACCGGAGTATAGCAGCATCTCTCCCGTAGCTAGCCTTTTCTGTCCAGCTTGAGTCCAGTGGGTTTCGCTGATTCCCAGTACTGCTAAATTGTATCTCCTCATTTCCGTTGCTATTTAACTGGTCTTCCCGGTTTCCCACATTGTTCGAACGTTCCATGTACCTATAAAAATTTTTGCTCTGGTTGTTAGAAGGGGCATCGGCCTCGTGGCTTCCGAAGGAACTCGGCTTTCACCATGAAGCGTCATAATTCTTCTAAACGAAGACCTTCTAACTCCCAGGGCAGAGTTAAAATGGTTTGGATTATTTTTCCTGGTAAGCGTTTTTTAGCGAGTTAGTTTTCTACGGGATGGGGACGCTAACCCCATGCCCAACCCTCCTCCTTTACCCGGGCTTGGGACCGGCAGCAACCCTATAAGAGCTACAGGCGGAGTTAAGATATATTTGTATATATCTTTAAATTTTGTCCATGTTTGTGAACCTATTTTACCGACTTGTTGTTTTCCTTTAGATCTATTTACCCAATCTTCAGTTTAAAACTTCTCTCCTTTTCAGTTTTCTTGCATATATGTATTTGCCTGTTCGAATCGAGAAACATGTTTACATATTCACGCATATATGTGTCTCATTCCTGTAAGTTTAATACAGTGATTTTTTGTTGTTGTGCTTGTTCTTGAAAGTAATCGCCTTTTTCGGTGTTGATACAGCAAATGATTTCTGGTGATCATTAAATTCATTGAGTCTTTTGTGAATACCATTAAAATTTATAGCTATTAAATGAACACAGTTTTCTTTGAAGTCAAGTCCGCATTGCTCTTCCATCTAATTGAATTGATCTTATCCCCAATATACAAATTCGTGAATTTTCTACTTTTAATTAGTAAAATATATCTGAATGTGAAGGAAATCACAAGCATATATAATGGAGCCCCACCCTACTAGTGAACTATGTCTTTTTTGCAAATTGAAATCAGCTCAGCTTAGTAGACAACATCATAGATTCATCCATACCATTCAACTTTGAATTACTTTGCTCTGTATGAAGGCTAATAAAACTACTTATTTACCAAAAAGCTGAAGTAAATTCAAAATACGCTCTGAACTTACAACCTAGTAGTAGTTGAGAGTCAATCGTGTACTGTTGTAACCCACTAAATCGTCATTTCACATGTTCACACATCTAAACAAGTGACTGACCAGATTTTCTGATTGCTTAGTTTATCTAATTAAATACTAATTTGGCTTCATTGATTATTTGACTCACGAAACCTCAAGCCGATGAATTAACCCTAGAGATCTTTAAGAATTGTGATCCGGCTTTAATTGTTATATTGACTGGGATTTTATCTAGATTCTGGAAATTGGATGTAATCCCATCTGGATGATTTCGATTGCTAGTCTTTCTGGTCTATAAGAAAGTACAAAAGTCCTCTTATGATAACTATAGAGGAATCAGTATCTAAAATATTAGTCTCAATAATTATCTAACGCCAAACTAGGGCTCATAAAAAGCAAACTCGGGAACACAGGTTGGTTTCGAACTTGGGCGTGAATGTATATTCACCCTTCTCCATGTTTCGGTAAACAGGCGTAGCTGCCAACCCCTAACTATAGTTGTATTTCTCGATCTTTAAGACAGCGTTTGACCCCGTAAATGGGCAGGTTTTGATGGAAGTATCCGTTCTTAAAAGGTGTACCAAATAATTACATTAACCTTGTACAGAATCTCTACTCGAACACTGCTGGTCGCGTCAGAGCTTATGACCAACTGTCTTCAGAATTGGTTACTTCGAATAGTGTTCGTCAAGGTTTTCCGCTTTCCCAGTTTTTGTTTAACTTCATTATAGACATTCTTTAAGAGATAATGCTCCCTTCTAGCTTGTTGGCAACCGACTTTCTTCTAGTAGATTCACTTATTGACTTAGAATACGCAAATGATATAGTTCTTTTTGATGAAGACAATGATAAAATGCAGTATTCTGACCACCTTAAGCAACAATGCAAGCATGTTCAGGATACGGTTCTCTCCCTCCAAATCCAAAATGATGCTTAGGGATTAGCTTGTGTCACCACCTAAATTAACGATAGGCGGTAAAGTAGTTGGACGCATCGACCACTTCACTTACCTCGGCAGTCTCATCAGTCCTGATGGTCTGGTGTCTGATGAGATTTCCGTTCGGGTTCAGAAGGATCGATTGGCTTTTGCCATCTTGCGTCATTTGTGGCGTAGGCGGGATATCTGTTTGTCAACAAAATGAGGAGTTTACCGAGCAACAATTCTCTGTTCTTCTTTAAAGGTGTGAAACATGGCTATTAAGAACAGAGGATATTCGCAGGTTACTTGCATGCGATCATGGGTGTCTTCAAAGCATTACTCGTATGTTTTGTGACCATCATATGCGTTCACTCTTTTTCAATGTTTGATATTTTTTTATTACTACTAATATTGTTACTACCTCTACTACTCTGGTATTTGGTTTGACAATTTCATCTCTCTGTGCTAATGGAGTGTGGCAACTTAAATCTATGTACACATCTACCAGGTTCTGCATTTCATTTGACTGACTGATCGTTTTTTAAAACTATATACTCAATGTTCAATCTTTCTCAGTAACATGTATGTACCATGTGTTACGTTTAGTATGACGGACTGACTGACTAAGTAAAGACATAAGTTCAGGAGTAGCATTTTAATGATGATGTTCATGTTCATTTTGCGTCATTAAATTTTAATGTAGTTTGTAACTCCATTCATATAGATAAAGTTAAATGAAGAAATACACAATGGCTTTACATTAATTACTAAGGGAGTTCCTTATTTTCATTGCAGATTACTGTAGAACCTATATACTAATCTTGCTTTTACGACTGTCTAAACTATATTATGTGAATTTTTTCTGTAGATAATATCGTATATTCTGGTGAGAAATAGTTTCAGTTCATTACGTAGAATATATAGTATATTCTTTGCTTGGATTGGTGATATGTCATTGGAAGTAAGTTTCAAATTATTTTCATTTCATTCAAATATATTCTCCATTCTCTATTAATTGTTTTTTTCTGCACGAAAAATTGAGATTGTGTGCTAATAGACGAACTATTAAACAACTAGTTCAAAGCATATTTCTTTTAGACATTTTACTTTGTACAACCCACCCTTTCTTAATAATTATATAATATATATATATATATATATATATATATATGATATTTGACTAGCAGTGGAATCTAGGATGCGTATTTCGTCCTATTTAGGATTAGTCAACTGGATTCATCTGCATTTCAGAGGTTGATATCCATACTGAGACTCGAACCCAGTTCCTTCCGCTTCAAACACCATTGTTATCTACTGAGATACTGAGTTCGTATAGTCACTAACTTTCTCAACAGGCATGAATTTATATGTAGGGGTTTTTAATCTACTGTTAATGGTAAGTCCCAATGAAGATAAAATTCGCTAGCCACATACCAAATGTACTAAAACTTGCAACATGACTCAGTTTCGAATTAATCCGCTCAGGATGCGAATATAACTGCAGAGACTGATCAATCGCATTCCTGAATATCAACAACGGGAAATCACAAATCTTTACATACTTTTCGTTTTTTAGTCGTAAGTTTTATACGTATAAGTGTATATGTTTGAGATACACCTTACAACCTTATATCCTAACTTTTATATATCTTGATACTCTAGATATCTGCTTTATTCTAGTACGGAACGCTTTAGAGTTATGTATCCATATCCCCCCAGGCCGTTTAATACTTGGGGAATGGAGTCATATTTATACTAAATTGACTAAACTAATATGAAGTGATGCACAATATCTTCGAATGTTTACTAAACAGTTTCGTCTATTTTAATCTTAATAATACCTTTCCCATATATAATATTATCATATTGTAATCGTTTATACATCCATCATTTTGCTCCAATTCCTATTTGTTTCTTTTTTTTGTTAGTTATTTATTGCTCAATATCATATTTGGTTATCAGCCGATGCTTATGGTATACTTGTTCTATTACCAGGTTTTCCATTGATCAACCTAACTTTGACATCATTTATTTTTATATGTATATGTCATGAAGTGCATATATTAACACGTCGATTACAAAATTACATTATTCCTAATTCCCCTTTAAAACTTGTTCGTAATATTTTAATTTTTACATTAGTATTTCATTTAATTACTAATTCAACATTACAAATAATTCAATGGGATTTTTCTTAATTATTATCATTATTATTATTATGTTGTATTTCTAAAATAATTCCATTTTTACATACTTTATTTAAATGTTTTTTGAATTGGTTCCATTGTATATTGTTGTTTGTTTCTTCTAGTTTTTCATGGTGCATTCATTCTTTATAGATATATTATTTTATTTGACATTAACATTTTTCCTCATATGTTTTACTTCATCTAATACAATCATACAAGTGTACAAATGCATATGTATAAATGAAAAGACTGTGGTGAGACTATAATTTATGGACAACGTTTGAGCGATGCTAGACTACTGACCTTAAGAGTATCCACTTAATAACCAGGAGCAAATGAGGATTATAAACCTGTGTAAAGAATTATAATTATAATTTACAGTTGATGATTAAGCTTAGGAATTAAGTTTCGAGTTTTCATCATGAATTGACACGAGCTGTAATGCCGAAACTCTATTTATCCGAATGGATGAGTGAATTTCACGCCAACACCTGAGACCTGTTATCTTATACGTGATTGGTTCGTCCATAAACTTAGTCCCCCTAAGACTGTTTTAATGTTAGTCGATTTTTTTTTCTTTTGCTGATTAAACAGTATATTTGATCTCAGTTTATATTAATACTATTGTTTATTATTATTGGTAAAGATCTTGAAGAAATCGCGCCACTTGTTCTTATGATCGAAATTCTGTGATATGTTATTGAGCAATCACCAATGGTAATTTTAGTACTACATATCGATTTTAAAAATGATTTTCTCATTTCTTTGTCAGTTGCTGTCTTTCTACTTTTCAAATTACATATTACCTTGTGTAACAATAGAGACCAGGTCATAATTGAAAATGAATATAAAATCTATGATAGAAAAACATCACAAAAGCTAAGATGATTTTCTTATTTGTCATATAGTTTTTAAATCTGTACATTCATATTAATACCATATAGAAAATAATAATAATGACTTCTATAAAATTACTGAGTAATAAAAAGTGGTTGCTCGGTAATTGTTACATTTTATAATTTACACCACGAACTAACTTTCGTTTGACAACACGTAACAACCAAAAAGCACGAGACAGCTGGTTTTTCCAGGTATTTGACTCATCAAGTGTCCAATCACAATCCCACAGAGGATATTCAGGTCCCACATCGAGCATTTAGCCTTTGAACTACCGAGTCAATACCCAATGACTTATGATTCTAACTCCAATCAATTAGCGATATTGCGCAGTCACTTTGCATTGTCTGCAGTGGATGGCTGCCTTACACCTAGCATGTTTGAACTCTACTACTTTTTGCTTTTCCCTAGGACTCCTGGAATTACATCTCAAAATTAGTCACCAGTGAACATATGGTTATTATTATTTGATGGCGATCTAATCGAAAACAATTGTTCGCTTATATGTGTTGTTCTAATTTGTGTAAATTGTTGCATTTCGCAGTTTACACCACAAACTGACCTTAGATTACCATTGAAAATGTCCTGCATTCGATTTCGGATAGGATAGTGAATGCTCACTTTCAGGGGGTTTCATATTACAACGAAATAGCTATTCAGTGTTTCATGGTCTTCGGTGGTTATTTGAGTGAGGCCAGTTCGTGATAAAACTATGAAAAACAGTAGATAAGAGCAATAAAGTGTCACCTGGTAGAAAGCCATTGTTCACAATCTATTTAAATCATCTTGTTAAACTTATGATTGCAAAAGTTACGTGTGATTCATAGAAAGATTAACAAATAAACATGTTAATTGTGTTTCAATAGCCTATCAAAAAGGATACACCACAATGGTTTGAAATGATAGTATTGTGGAGGAAAAGTAAGAAATGAATAATCAATGAACATAAATGCAAAAAGTAGTATTATTTGGGAAATACAATTGAGTTTGGAAAGCAATAAGAATAATGCTATAACTTCATCAAGGTTCACTCAAATTGACATATACCACTAGTCATAAATTGATTTCATCTACATTGCCAACACTTTAACGGAGGTTTTGTAGTCCGATGTACAGAAATTCTGTATCAGTAGTGGCAAATGAACAATTAGTCTCGGGAAATGACTAAGGAAGACATATTTTTTTCTCCTACTATTTCTTGGCTATCCAAGATAAACTCTAGAAACACTTTTATGAACCTTATATACAATCGATGTAATGTTAAGGTATTATCTCATCAATTAAACATTACTGAACTAGGTAGGTATCTGGCTTTTTTTCTAAAGAATCTCCGCCGACAGTACATTTCTACTTCGGATAGAGGTTGAGTGCATTTTGTGGTTTATATTGATTTCAAGTTAGACATGTACACCACTAGATGCCGGACCAATGGTCTAAAGGTTAAGCGTTTGCCATGTGACCTGAAGGTCCTGGGTTCGATCTTTGGTGGGGCTGTGGATGAACACTGCTGAGGAGCATCAAACGAGGACGAAACACCTACCCGGCGCTTACTGGTTTTCAGTGGTTGTCTAACGAAGGTGATATAACCTAAAACAAAGATATATTACAATAGCTACCGTTTTAAAGTATCTATAACAGAACTGATTTGTATGAACTTAATAATCAATCAGATTGGGCAACATTACAACATTTTAAGTATGAAACGTGACAGAGATAAGAATACCTGAAAGCAAAAGAAGTCGAGAACTCAAAAATTTAAAATTAATTGGGAGAAAATATGTGTTCAGACAGCTGCGAATTTGCTTTACCTAGACTAAACACTCCTCCCAGTTTATACAAAAAGCAAGCAAAGCCACAAATTTCTACGAAATTAAAAGACAAGTTGCGAATATTCGATCGTAACTTCCTTTAGAAAGTTCCTCTTGTATTTTATAATGAGCCTATGTAGAGTAATTCAGTTCAGCCGTAAAAAGTCATGAATACTTTCCAGTCATAAATGTAGGACGTATGTAGGGACGAAATCAATGGACAATGTATAACTCCAATAGAAAGTTCTACAAACCAATAGATCCCACCCACCAATGGTTTACCTGGCTTAATACTCCCTTGCTATTTGTACCACGACCATAAGGCACCGATTGTCGTGGATGTATGACGGTCATTAGGTGGGTTCAGAAATACCACCCCGATTAACTAAGGAAGGTTATAATTAGGTTTGTAGGGAACGTAATTATAGAATTTCCTGTCGATACGAGCCATCCAATCAAAACAGATTTATCGTTTGAAATCCTCTACAACATGAAAAGAGATCTACCAAAAGGCAGTCCTTTTCATCTTTGTACTGCCGAACTCCGCACAATAGACAACAATGTATCTAGATGAAACTTATTTGACTTCTTATCATGGACTTGACCTATAAAATTTGAAAATTCCTTTACAATCCATCTGTTAAATTTGTAAAGCATCCTATTTGATTCGCTCTTGTTTACACACTCTTTACCATTACATTCCGTTCTTAAAATTCATCTTGCTGTTACCCAAGCTAACATATATATATATATATATATATATATATATATATATATATATAAGGCTGGATATAAACTCAACTCCTGTTCAGAATTTTGGCAGTCTACTTAGCGACCGATTAGAATGAGGCGGGAACTATCATTTCCGCCATCTTTGTGAGCAATGGCAGCCGGCTTTCCTCATTTTGTGTTCCGCTGGCTTTTTGGTGTCGCTACAAAATTTAATCCTCCAGTGTGCTGGAATTTCACAATTTATGTGATACTCTAATTTTTTTAATCGGTTTTGTTTTCACGGTATTCGCTACTGCTACTCATGTCGGTGTATCCTTTCCGGCGTGCTTATGTGCCTACATGGTAAAATATTAATCCGTTTTGTATTGAGTACTATTTTATAGATATCAGAAACCAGAGTAAGCATTTTTCTAACCAAAATAAATGTTGCTGCCACCTGGGATTTTTTAACTGGTTGTATGTTTGTTCCTAAGTGTCATTTATAACGTTACTGAGAGCAGTTAAAGAAAACGACCTCCAGTTAGTTATGTTCTTCAGTATTATGGATAACCCTATCCAATCAACGAGTCAAATATATATATATATATATTTGCGACCAACAAAATTACTTTTTATCTTTACCAACTTCATTATTTTGTGTACCCCATTAATACAACTTTTCACATCTTATTTGTAGTTACGTATCATAGATTCTGCCACTTATTCATTTATTTCTGGGCAGATCACACTTTTGTATCTCAGAATTATCAGTTGTTTCTCCCAAAATAAATATTTGGAAAGTGTATAAAAGCATCCAAGGGAACAGATGGATTGTAATAAAACTTATTCATTAAGCTATGTATTTGTCTATAGTAAGGAAACACTAGTGCTACATACCACGGTTATCGTACCTAAATTTTAACCCAATACGTTTCCTAAAACCGTCCAGACTATCCTGGGAGAACTGCACCATCATATCACATGATTTTAACAGATCCCGTTTCCTTATTGTGTGGTTTAGAAAATCGCTGTCTATATTTATTTATTTGAACACATAAATATTGGTAAAAAGGGGCACCAAATACATATGCGCTCAGTCTAATCTGAAAATTAGATCGATTATCTTTTCTCCATTATTTAACCTTTGACAAAGTTCACCAGCAAGTTCCCTAGTAGTATTAGACAATCCATTACATAAGTGCTCCGAGATGCTAAACTTGTTAGTCATTAGCCTATACTCCTGGGACATTAATTCAATAGACACTATGAACAAAAACATAAGTAAAAAAAGCCTGGCTATCAGTTTTACCTCATTCCAAGTTGTTATCACGGATGCATGAAAAAATCGACGTTCAAATAAAATTGTCGAGAAACCAACTACAAATTGCTGTTAAACCAAATCAAGGCTTTGTATTTAGCATAGACAAAGTTTTTTTTGGTAATCGGTTTTCCTGAAATACGAGGACTTCACAATTTCGCATAACTAAGAACGAGAGAATTTCTGGAAAGTAAGTTTTTTAAAGCTTTACTAAAACAATAACGATCTATTAGTTAGTATAAATAAAAAGTAGACAAGCAAAGCAAGTAAGACAGAATCTTAGTCTCGGAATGAACTATTTTCACGTTGTCGTTACATTGATACCAAGCTGCTTCCACGCAAATTCATACTCTCGTAATTCCTCGAATACCTTAAGAATATATTTAAACCTTGAAAGAGATATTAGCGCATCAGTCCAGTCCGATCTGGAAATTAGATTGATTATCATCTTTTCCTCATCATTTAATCTTTGACGAAGTTCACTGACAAGTTCTCTAACGGTACCAGACAATTCACTAAGTGATTTCTCAGGACGACTGGGATTCAAAACATCGCGAATCACCTCCTCAACCTTCTCCCTGATGTTCATTACTTCTGATAAAAACTCTGTATTATCCGATTTCTTGAAATCTACGTTATCAGTTGATACACCATGAAGATGAAGGAGATATTCATAACGATCAACGGGCTTTTGTAGACAGCTATATGCTTTGTTTACATAGGCTGATGCATCTGAAGCAAGGTCTTTTTCATACTGTGTTTTCGCACTAAATTTGTCAGGGTGTAGCAATTTCTGGGTTTGCCGCATCCGATCTCCTAGATCGATTACATCTATCACAGGTTCCGGGTTTGGATAACCAAGAACATCGAAATAAGACCAATGGGGACTAACTGGCTGCACTTTTCCACATTCACAAAAGAAAGATAGGTCTTTTACTAACCTGCTGCAGCTCCAGCATGTACGAAAACTTGACGCAGAGTTGTGAACATATGAAGCGACGTAGGAACAATTATGCCTACTTAAAGATACTGCGAGACGATTAGTATTGTACGAAAAATACTTGTGACAGTGACACGGAAATGCAAGACTACGGCATCTACATAACTTTGAAAACTCTAAAAGCGTCAAGCAACTGAACAAACGTAACGGTAACGCAGACATCACAAAAGCCGCCCTAAATGCTAAAATGTTGGGGCGACGTAGCTTGTTATACTAGCTTCCCAAATAAAGGGAAAAAAGCGCAGTGATGCATTTTAACCTCCGTTATTTTCAGTGCCGTGGAGAATCAGTCTCTTGTTGAAAATATAAGGAGAAGTCCCGGATACTGTGTGTTGTCGTTGATAACTCCAGTAGTTTATGACTAATATTTATATTTGTGCTTTATGAACAGATGAGTGGATAAATGTTTCAATTATTTATTCTGTGAACTTTTGTTTGCCCCTAATCTCTTGAACTGTTCAGATATTACTATTAAGAGTTAGGGTGTAGGAACTGTAGTTCTGGTCTAGCTTATACGTCATTATTATCATTATTCATACTTTTCACAACTTTATTTCACTCGTATAGTTCTAACTGTTGGCAACAAAAAGTCACTTGTATCAACCTTCTAACCTCCTTCATAAAAAATATTTTCTTTGTTGTATATGAACTGCTGACTAGATTATTGTATTAACACAGCGTTGTAGACTAAATTTGCATAAGTTCAAGATTAATTTAAGCCAAATACGTAGTATTGTCTGATGAAGACTCTGAACGAGATCTAAGTGCGGGAAATTCATAGTTCAAACACCGTAAATTTCCAGCATTCGTATCTTCTGTTTGGTCGTGGAACTCAGCGATTGGAAATTAGGTAGGCAGTGGTCAACTAAGCAAAACACTAATAGATAGTTTCTGACGGAAGATAGTTGACAATGGTTAAGCAGAAAGATGAATCTATAATCGACAGTTAACCTTGTCCCGCTTATACCAGTGGATAAGTTGCAAACAGATGTGCATTCGTGTTGCATTCTGACTGTACTTACGAGTGGTTGATGTTTTAACAGACATATTACATTGGAACATTTACATAATCCTAATGCGTTTTAACGAACCACGGTAGCTTATTATAATCGTAGTTGATTGGTAAGCTCTATCGATTGAACTAATCAACATTTATTTGAAGCAGCGAAAGTTCATAGTAACTGATTAACGTAGGCGACGATAGAAATGAAAAAAGTATAGAATGCAATAAAGAAAAGGATAATAATGATAGGTTGCGTTATTCGAAGTCTTGCTCACCAGTGTAGATCACCAACGTAGATTATCTCTGTCGAATGATCGGAGATCTACTGGAGTTAAACGGCAATGGTACGACGAACCAGCTAACATCGAAGTAACACCTAGCTGTGCGCATCCAACTTGGTTTACCTCTTCGACGTATCAAAATTCCATGGCTGCTTTGAAGAGCGTATAACACAAAGGACGTTATTGTGAAGTTGCTATAATAACAATGAGTACAGAGAAGATAATGAGAAGACTGTCATATGGTCCACTCAATCGTAACGATAAACTGATACACGGTGCTTGTCATTGACCTTGACAGGGATTGATGATCCGTTTAATATTCGGTGACCCGATTGCCGGATGATATGTAGAATTATGTTCTACTATGATATTAGTACTGCTCTAATAATAGACCTACTCCTAAATTTGTAGATTTGTCATGATATAACTGCCTAATCTATAAGATTTTACGTGGATGTTACACCATCGACTACACCAACTCACTGTATCGTATCAATTACCAATACATGATGTAGAACAAGGTTAGGCTAGAGAAAGAACAATATATTTAATATGAATAGAAGACACAAGGTAACATTCAGCAGAGACCACGCCTGCATGGCCGAGCCATGCCACTCGATCAACTCCAGTCAATTCATTATTCGCGCCTTCTCCATTGTTAGGTATTTCTCCGCGTTAAATATTGAATATCTATTTTCTGAGTAGTCTCGTGTTCACAGCTTTGTGGATTGTGTGGCTATTATCCAATGCCACTACAGATATATTATTGTTATTCACAAACATCTTACGGGTACATAAGTGTTTTGATGAAACCATTCCGGGTTTTTTCAAAAATACGATAATACAGAGGTTTCAATAATGTTAACATTATATTTACCATATTCGGAAAAAGATGGTAATAATAATAGAATATTAATAATAAATCTGGTTCTGTGTAGTTGAGAAGAATATTGAGTCGACATTAAAGAAGTAAAGGGGAAAATAAAGGAATAGAAATAAAGGAGACGTGAAATACGCAACTAGTTTAATAAGCGTGTTTATGAACACAAAACAAGAATAAACGACTATGCATGTATCGCTGAATTAGTAACAAAAATAAAATATAAAATTATTAAGAAAAAATAACTTATTATTGCACTGAGACATGACGTGAGAACAAATCTTTGTGCAGTTATCGTCTGGATTGATGCTATGAAAGTCTCAATTAAGTGCAAAGAAAACTAATTATTAATATGTATGACTCATATATTCATAGTGAAGACGAAACGAGTCTGAGAAGTTAATTTAAGTGTAACACAAGTTATTGTCTGAATTACAAACTTCAAAATCTTAAGAATAATATTTATTTGGAAGGAAAAAAGAGAGAAAAAATGAACACCTGTTGAAACGGTTCAACCACAATAATAATAGCGCAATGAATATCGGCCTCTGAAGTAAACAAACAAGTTTTAAAAACTTTGAGTGCACTCGGACAACTACATGTAGATTTATGTAATAGTATGTACAATTATGGTCTACCATGGTATTAGTACTGCTCTAATAATAAACCTAATCCTAAAATTATACATTTGTCATGATGCAACCGCCGATCTACAAGATCTTACATGGAAGTCACATCATTGTCTACACTGACTCACCGTATCGTAACAGTCACCAATACATGATGGAGAACAAGCTTAGACTAAAGACAGAACAATATATTTAATATGAATAAAAGATACAAGATAACATTCAATGGGGACCACGCCTGCAAAGCCGAGCCATGCCATCTGGTGAGTTCGAACCCCTCCAATTCATTGTTACCTCTTCCTCCATCGTCGGGATTTTCTCCACGTGGTTGTGGCTCAGTGCCGCTACAAGTATACAAGGTGAAACGGAAATTACTACAAACATTTGTGTGATAATAATTTAGAATGGTGCTATGAAATTCACAATTAATTGCAAAGGATTATCAAATTTAAATTCGCATGCGTTATATATATGTGGTGAAGACAAAATGAATATGAGAAGATAATCTGTATTTTTTGTTTTTAGCTATAGACTTTGGATGTTTAGAAATAAAATATGTTTAAAAGGACAAGAATGGATGAAAAGAATATCTTATGTTTCGAGGGACCAAAAATGATATTAATAAAAGTAATGATTATAAATACTCACATATGTAGACTTCATATATTAAGATGAGTAGAAAGAAAATAAAAAGCTGAACACAAGCCAACTGAAAGAATACATATTCAACATTTGACGCGGAGAAAATCCCGACGATGGAGGAAGAGGTAACAATGAATTGGAGGGGTTCGAACTCACCGGATGGCATGGCTCGGCTTTGCAGGCGTGGTCCCCATTGAATGTTATCTTGTATCTTTTATTCATATTAAATATATTGTTCTGTCTTTAGTCTAAGCTTGTTCTCCATCATGTATTGGTGACTGTTACGATACGGTGAGTCAATGTAGACAATGATGTGACTTCCATGTAAGATCTTGTAGATCGGCGGTTGCATCATGACAAATGTATAATTTTAGGATTAGGTCTATCATTAGAGCAGTACTAATACCATGGTTGACCATAATTCTACACACCTTCGTTTTTATTCAGGTCATTATACCTGCGATCACTGTAAACTAGTATACGATGTTCAGGGGTGGGTTAGATACATTTTCTCTATAACTTGAAATGCAATGTGCTCGGAAAAGTTCGAACGTCGAAGTCACACCTCGTGGTCAGCACCTTACGTGAACAACCACACTGACATATCGAGGTACTATAAATGCTTTGAAGGCTGTACAACACAAAGGACGCCAATACAGAAATATATTAGCCAAAGTAGACACAAGGGAAAGTAAGACCACCACCCTATGGGACAGTCCACGGCGTACGATTAACTGATTCGCGTTGGTCATCCTTGACCTTGACAGGGATCAGTGAGCGGTTCGATATTCAGTGACCCAACTGCTGAACGACTTGGCTAGGGCTTGGTTGAATCTCACTAGCCATACAGGACGATTTGGCTACGTTCTTCTAAAAAAGTTTTGAGCCAAGATAAAAGTGGATTCTGTATGCCAAATGAAGAGAGTTTTAGAGGAAGTTTGTGTAAGACACTGTCGAAAGCCTTACTAAAATCGAAGTACAGAATTATCATTGACTGACCAACATCTCTCTGGGTAATTTGTTAAAAAAATTCCAGGTGCGATGTGAATCATGAACGTTTAGTCATAAACCTGTGTTGGAATGAGCTAACCAGACTAGCCGAAAGTAAAAATGATAGTAGCCATTTGTGGATGATTTTTTCCATGATTCTTGATAGCACGGATGTCAAATTAATGGGCCTATAGTTAACCATATTACTACGTGATCCCAATTCGAAACTAGGGGTGATAAGAGATGTTTTCCATACAGATGGATAAGTCCCATATGCAATAGATAGGTTGAAAAGTTTAAACAAAATAATGGTAATTCTCTATTACCATATTTCACAAATGATGAAGGAATCCTATCAGGCCCACCGTCATAAGACTTATTCTGGGCAGCTGTGCTATTTAGTGATAACATATTGTAGTGTGGCGTCGAGTCACGTCTGACTATGAACACTACTACAAGGAGGTTGCGTACCAGAAATCAGAAGGCGGTTGCAGGTTGTAACGAGATATATTCGTTGGAGATCTCGTGATATCGAAGGAATACAGAGATCGTACCAAAGAAATACAAGTGGAATCAGCGGGCGAACGTAAGAGCGTACAAAGTCACAATCCACGGGAGGATAATGAAAGAATAATGGGTGTTTTCAGTACAGTTAAACTAACAAGTACAGTAAAACAATCACGGGTACAATTGGTTATAATAATCATTGTTTCCATATAATGTTTTGAATTATTTGAATTGTATTATGAACTACGAATCCCAGAATTAACGCAACTGAATTAAGAAGTGAAACACAAGCACAAACGAATGTATTGTATTTGGAAT